TCACCGCTGGTGCCACGTCAGGCCTGAAGCTAGGTACCTGGGTGCCTCAACTGGTGGTCTCGCCAACAGCCCAGAACCAGGATCTTCCGTCGAATCATAGTCGCGAAACTCGCCCGTCGACTGCTCACAGCCGCCTGCCTGGGGTCGGGAACGTCTTAAGGAACGGGCCAACCTCTCCACCTGCGCTACCTGCGATCTGAAGGTCTCCCCATCATGACCTAGACCTGCGCTAAGTCTTGAAGCTCCAGATCGACTCCATCGCGGACCCTCTCGCGCTCGACTCGAGGTCGACAGCCCTGTCTGCTCCTCCCCCGCTGCTGACCGCCACGATCTTTCCGCCGCTCGGCTTTCTGTCTGCCCACGGCTCGCTCGAGACACTCGTCAACTCCGCTTCGCTTCGTACATACCCATACTCTGGCACCCACCGAGCCTCTCCTGCCTCCCTCCGCCCCTTTTCCCCCTCTCCGCCCCAACACAACTCTCGACCACTCCTCACGAGGCTCTTCCCTCGTCACCGGCTAGGGCACAGACCAATGCTCCACCATGTCTACCAAAGATGATCGCGAGGTCGATCTCGATGAGCGCCCGCGGGAGAAGAAGAAGAGCAAGAGCAAGCGGCCGACCTTCGAAGGTGACAAGGAGCACCGCAAATCCGGCACACGATCCTCCCGACACAAGAAGGAGGGTGGCAGTGAAATCTCCCACTCGCACTCTCACTCACACCGACGTCATCGCACGCGAGAAGAGAAGGACAAGGACAGGGACAAGGAAAAAGAACGTGCTGGATCCACGTCGGAGCTTGTCTTCGAGTTCGGCAGGTCCAAAACGTCGCTTGCCTCGATGGACCGTATTTCGGTGCCTTACCCGTCGTTCAGCAAGGCGCACAGCAAGGAGGCTGTCAGTCGAGAAGACCTCTCGGGCTCGGCAGCCGGCAGGCGGTCAGGGCCCTTGACGCCCGAGCCCACCGATCTGGGAGGCGAAGAGAAGGAGCGCTCCAAGTCGGCCGACTATTCCACCACCTCCAGATCCAAAACGAAGGAGGCCCGTCCCCCGAGCCCGCCAGAGACGGACGTCTCCGGCAAGCGGAGATCAGGCACGCCCGACACCGCCGCCAAGGAGGCGAGAAAAGAGCGCCCTAGCTCGAGGCTGAGCGGAATCTCGAGGTCAGCTTCGAGGAACGAGGAAAAGTCTCGTCTGAGCACCAAGTCCAAGTCTTCCAGTCAGGCGACATACTACAAGACAGCCGCCTACATCCCTCCTGGCGTCCAGGAGGGCTTGGCCGCGGAGCGAGGCCCTTCCCGGTCATCGTCCAAGAGGAGTGTGTCGAGCAAAAATGGAAGGCGATCAGACCTTGTCGACGCCGAGTCCTCGCCGGAGAGTGCCCAGGACTCATCCCCAAAGACGCCGACCCAGACACCTCAGTTCCCCCCATCCATGTTCAGCGCTGAAGACAAACCTTTCACGCCGTTTCAGGACGGCGAAATCAGACCCCCCGACACGCCAGCAACGGACTTTGGCGGTCCTCCGCCTCCGCCGCCTCCGCCTGCCGCCAGTGTGCAGGAAGCACCCAGAGTTGACTACCTGCTCCGGAACGGCGGTCTTCCCTACGCCTTGCCGAAGAACTTTCTCGCCGTTCTGCCCCGACAGAACGGTACACGCCCTTCGAACCCTCCTCTCACAGGTGCCCAGACGCTCTTTGCGCCGTTTTTCAACCTGTTGAACCAATACAACACTGTCCTCGAGAAGAGCGGCTCTATAGCCGTTGCGACGGGCCACCGGTCCGTGGCGCGCCGCCTCCTCGATCGCCTGGAGAATGTTTTCTCCCGTGAACTGCCACCCCACGGTTGCAGCTGCGTGGTGTGCGATACGGGAACGGACTTGCACACAGGCCTGGGTTGGGGTGAGGTGCTCGAATGGGTCAGCGGCCGCATTGACCTTCCCCAGTGGCCACCGTTCGATTTGGCCGATCTAGGCGTGAAGGCCGCCGAGATGTCCGCGGACCTGCCTCCTCGGCCTGATTCACCCATCAAAATGGATCCGGACATTGCAGAGGAGTTCCGCGAGCACTACCTCCGACAGTCAAAGAAGGTTCGCGGGGCTGTCGACAAGTGGCTCAATAAGTGCGGCGATAACCACGCGCCGCCGCCGCAAGAGGTCGATGACGAAACCCTCACATTTGCGATCCTGACAAACATGGACCCCGAGGACCGGCCTTATTTCAACGCCATTCTGTCGGGCTCTCGGGAAGTTCAGCCCTCTCTTCGGTCTCCTACTCCGATGCGAAGGCCACGCTCCGACTTTATCATCAAGGCCGGCCTGTCCCTCCAGAGGCTGTACAGACTGCAGCAGGCGCCACGTGATGCCGAGACGGCTTCATACCTGATCAAGAACCCAGAGACCCACGACCTCCTCGTGTCCTTGTCCGACATCAACACATCCGAATGGGAAATTCTCACCTCTGGCAGGTTTGATGGATTCCTCTGGTCGGGAGCGGATTCGGACGATGTCCCTACTCCCACGGGCGAGTCGCGTGGCGCTACACCCGCCAGTGGGTATTTCCCTTCCCGGGGACCGACACCCAACCTTCGAGCGACGCCGGGACTCCCAGGGTCTCGAAACACGACGCCCTTCTCCGGCGTATATTCGCGCGGCGCGACGCCTGCCTCGTTCGTCAGCACCTCAACATCGGCACAGACACGGCAGGCGGTGTCCCGAGACGAGGAGATGGAGCTGGCAGCCCTGGCCGAGGCAGAGCGGGAGATTTACCAGGGCATGGAAGTTCTGGAAGACGCCTTTGAGGCACTGCACGAGCGGGCCGAGATTGTTCGCACGGCGCTGCGCAACCGAGGCGCCGGTCTCATGCTCAACCTGCAGCATCGCAGACGGATCGACGTGTTGCCCAACCAGCCCAACTCGGGTAACTCGCAAAACTCGGGATACGAGCGGCCGGCGTGGGCGACAGGCAGCGAGCTCGATGCTGTCAGCGACAGCGAGTGGGGTGGTGAGGATTTCGAGCTGATGCCGGACGATTCGGCCAGCAACATCAGCAGCTCACGACACCGACGGCCCAAGAGGCGCACCGAGCGACGGACGCCTGCGCCCATCGAGGAGGACGACGAAGAAAACTGAAATTGATACCCCGACGCAAAGCTTTTGTTTTGTGAGAAACGGTGCTGCCCCAAGACGGCAGTCTTCCCATTTGAAACGGATTGGGCCTTGATGCGTCAAGGGGACGGGGCGGGATGAAAGTGTTGGAACATAGCAGCGACGCAAGACTGAGTGGCCATGTCCGGGGGGGTATTCTGAGCAACGAACTGTATTGGATGATGGTATGTGGAGTGAGGGCCAGCTGTATGACATGTATGACACACATGCCTGTCAGAGACGTCCATATCAGAGACTGTCTTTGTCATGGGCTGATAAAGGAGTGAGAACGAGAGGTTATCACGACGCTAGACGCGGGGACACAGCACGTAAGGGAACGAAGACATGACCAGACGGGCGGCTGATCTTAGCATGACTCTCTCTCAGCTTCCTGCTCAACACTGTACATATCGAATGCATTTGTCCATTCCAACATCCAATGAGGTCTGTGGTGCGTTCACGAGCGCGACGAAAGCGAAAAAGGCAGTGAACGGCTGCCGCGTTTGGCGAAGTTTGCATTGAGGAGGCTGCCTGATGTCGTCCAATTGGCAGAAGTCCACCCAGGATGTGGCACTACGCCGGAGCCAACCTTGTTGATCGGGTCCAGCCAAGCTACAAGACCCAGAAGCTGTGGGCACCTCCATCTCCTGGGAGATACTTGATTGCCGCTGGTGGGGACGCCTGAAATGAAGTAGCAGCCACGACAACCTTTCCCACGCGGTTGACCCCCCACACTAAAAATCCTCTCGTTACGGGCACACCACGCTACGCCACGCGAGGCGAGCGGCCAGCAGGAGGGGCGACCGGTCGGTTCTTCGTCAGTCAGGCGCCCGCCCACTTGCTACTGCTTCGGCACAAGACTGCGCGTGTGTGCGGGTATTCCCTACCTTGAACCCGGCCGGTAGTCGCTACTTCTAGTGTCATATCATGGATCGCGAGCAAAAATTTCATACCATACCCTTCCTCACCTGGACCCTTTGAACCTCCCAACACCGCTCCATCGTTTAACCGTGTTAGAAAGCAAGAGACCACTCTGCTCCGATCATCTTGGTTCGAACATTTGTTGATCTGCGTCTCCCATATCTCACACACATATACTCTCTCTCTCTCTCTCTCTACATCGTTCCGACCCTTGTCGTCACCATCCAACATGGTGCAGCCGTCGACACAGGCATCTAATGCCGTTATCTTCGTCACCTACAGCCTTTTCCTGTACCTCAAACCCCCACCTGTTCTACCCGAGTTGCGCGTGCTGACCATGTTTGCAGCTTGATGGGACTGGGCATGGCCTACCGGTACAGACATGACCTCAAGGGCGGGTTCCTGTCTGGAAACCGAACACGGACGGGTTAGACCTCACCTCACGATTCAGCAGAGGTTGTCGAGTCGCCCACTCGCTCCCTCTTCTGGAATCACTTTTCACATCTTGCCCTTCGATCTCCGTGTGTGACCAGAGCTAACACGCTCTTAGCTATCCCCGTCGCCCTTAATTTCATCGCCAGTGGTGAGTGCAGGCGTCTACGCCTAGCGTAGTCTATCTCTCCAGAGAGCAAGAGCGGCAGCAAAACTTGTATCCGTCGATCTTTTTTTCGAGCTCCCCAGCCGCAAAACCCCTTCGACAAGCATCATGATCACCACCGTCACGGAGAGTCTTCTTCACACCTCCAGTGATGATTAAGTGGCAAATCGAGCAAGAGCCACCCGCGCCACCGGCAGTTAGGTTCGTACCCAAGATGACTATGGTCCTCCTGAGGCCCCGGGCGCGTTTTCCCTTGCCAAGAGGATCCCTTCTCCGACTATGCGGGAGAGCAATCTCTTGTATACACTGACTCAATGTTCTCCCGTCGTGTCGGACGATGGGACCCCCCTTGGAGAGGGATGCGCCCCCGGAGGCGGAAGAGGATGCGGCTCACTACGGGCGCCGACTTGAAGTGCAACGGGCATTCAACTTCTCTCCCTCGGTTCTGAAAGAGGAGAAATGTCCCGTGCGCGGAAAGGAAGCTGAGATTGTACCGTAATACTCGATCAAGTTAATGCTTGCGTGGGGAACGTGCTGCCGCTCCAACTGACCTCTCCCCCTTTTCCCCTCCCCCCAAAATATTGTCGTGCTAACAGCGCAGGGTTGGGATCGAGTGTGCTCTTCGCTTACCCGGAGCTGGCCACCATCACCGGTGTGCAAGGCGTCATCGTCTACGCCTTGTCCTCCTCTCTGCCGCTGCTCATCTTTGCGGCTCTCGGCAGCATCATCCGCCGGAAGACCCCCGAAGGTTTCGTGCTCACGGAATGGACGCGCCAGCGCTATGGCACCGCAGCCATGCTGTACCTCAGCGCTGCGACGCTCTTCACCCTCTTTCTGTACCTGACGGCAGAACTCTCTGCCATTGGCCAGGTCGTGACGACCTTGACGGGCGTCAACCAGCTGCCCGTCATGCTTGTCCAGGTTGCCGTCACCACCATCTACACCTGTATGTTTACAGCGCACTCATTTGCTGGAGGGGCATTGCTAACCGACGTGACACAGCTTTGGGAGGATTCAAGATATCCTTTGTCACAGACAACATCCAGGGAGGCATGGTCATCTGCCTTATTGTCATTGCTGCCGCCACCATTGGTGCGCTGACCGACATTGACACCTCCTTGATCCGGGAGTCAGAATTTCTCAAGCCCACCCTCCTTGGCTGGCAGCTTCTGTACATCCTGCCCGTCTGCATCCTCACGAACAACTTCTTCCTGTCCAACTACTGGCTGCGCGCTTTCGCTTCCAAGACTGACAAGGACCTTTGGATCGGCGTGTCCCTCGCGACCACGGTTATTCTGTGCGTCCTGGTCCTCGTCGGCATGACTGGTTGCATTGCTGTCTGGTCTGGTGCCCTGCCGCTTGATGAAGTGGCTACTTCCGGCTCGGTTGCCTTCTTCATTCTCCTGGATCGTCTCCCGTCCTGGGTCATTGGGGTTGTGCTCGTCATGGTCGTCACAATGTCCTGCTCCGCCTTTGACACCCTCCAGTCAGCCATGGTCTCGTCAGCGTCCAACGATCTCTTCCGCAACCGCCTGAACATTTGGTGGATTCGTGCCGGCATTCTGCTGATCATCATTCCTGCCATCGTCATTGCCCTCGAGGCCCCGTCCGTCCTTCAGATCTACCTCATCTCGGATCTCGTCTCCGCCTGCATCGTGCCCGTGCTCTGCATTGGCCTCTCAAACAAGTGCTACTGGTGGCGTGGCTTCGAGGTCATTGTTGGCGGACTTGGTGGCATCCTCACATCGTTCCTCTTTGGTGTCATTTACTACGATGGAGACGTTCATCGTGCCGGCAACCTTCTCCTCATCTCTGAAGGTCTCTACGCTGATGACTGGAGCGTCTTTGGCGTCTTTGTGGCGGCTCCTGTCGGTAGCATCGTGTGGGGCTTTGCCGCCCTTGCGTGCCGCCTGTCGTTCCAGTACATCCAGGCCAAGCGCAGTGGCTGCCGCTTCGACGCCCTTGACCGGCCGTACGGCCCCGGCTTCGGCCCCAGCCCTGAGGAACAGGCTCACTACCGCCAGAGCGGCTCTGGCGACGACGTTGCCGACGTCAGCTCAGAGCACGAGCAGGCCGGATCCAAGCCTGCCGGCAAGTTCTTCTGAGTGTCATCTGACGTGTACTTCAGGCAGTGCAAGCAGCTTCAAAACTGACATGTTCACGTGTCGGTTCCAATTCTGCCTGTCCAGAGCACTTGCTGCAGCTGGTCAAGAACGCTCAGCCATGCGTGATTGTGGAAGGATGTTGATTTGATGAGAGGAGCGGGAGATAAGCCTCCCTAGTCTGGATTCGGCCGTGGAGCAAACCACCGACTCCTATGTATCTGAATTAGATCATCGAGTAATTGCACATAGTATACATTTGTTACATGCTCCCTTCCTGTCTACGCTTTTCTTGCCGCTTGGATCTGCCTCCATCTATTGAATGCCTGCCTCTCTGAGCTTCTTGTCTGCATTTTCCGCCTCCATGGCAGCGATCCTGGCCTGCTCCTGGGCCCAAGACTCGGGCGTCGTCTCGCTGGCGTTCCCGATGACCTTCCAGTCGCCGGCCACGTACGTAGAGCCGTTCCACCTCCGTGTGATGGCGAGGTACTCGGTGCGCCTCTGGACGCGGGCGGCGCCGGGGATACTGAGGCCGGTGCGCACGTCAACCCTGTCGAGGCGCTGGGTCGAGTCGACGGCGACGACGGCTTGCTGAATCATGGTGTCCTTGGGCAGGGGGGGCGGCAGGACGCCGACGCGGTGGGCGGCGAGCCAGGTGCGGTGGGTGGCGACGACGTCCCAGGTGGTGCGCTCGTGACGGCTGCGCTTGTCGAGGGTGGCGCCGAGCGTCTCGTAGAGGGCGGGCGTGCAGATGGCGCGCAGGGCCTCGCGATCGCCGGCGGCGAGGGCGTGGCCGAGGCGGGCATGCAGCGCCGTGCCGGCGGCGCGGGCGCGGGCACGGTACAGGTCGGCGCGGGGCTTCTTGAAGAAGCTCGGGCGGGACTGGAAGCGCAGGACAAAGGTGCTCAGAAAGTCGCTCGCGAAGGACTTGATGCGGGTGTACTGGTAGCCGAGAAAGGCGGACGGGGCGCGGGGGGCGCGCGAGAGGGGGACGGGGATAAAGGTGCCTGGCCGGGAGACGTGTTAGCATGATGTTTTCTTGCGTCCTTCTGTCTCTCCATCATGTCTCTCTCTCTTTCTCTCTATACCATGTACAGCAAAGCACGTACCGGGGAAGAGGCTGCCGGCGTAGCGCGTCGTAGCCTGCTCGATGGCCTCCTTCTGCTGCTTCATCATGTTGCCGGACTGGGCGGCGGCGGCCGTGTCGCTGACCCTCTGGTTCGCCCGGAGGGCGGCTCTGTTGGCGTTTGGCCTCTCCTTCTTTGCGTAGGTGCGAGCCTGTTGTCTGGACATGACGGCCAGACGGGGGCGGCCGAGGCCGAGCAGCGGCCTGCTCGCATGTCGGTACATGTTGTGTGGTTTTGTTGGGTTGGAACGACGCTTGTTATCAGGCTTCACGGTCGCAGGTCGCTCGCTCGGGGGATCGAAGACTGAGGATACCAGAGTCCCTGGTTGGAAGTCGTGCTGAGGAATGTTGTTCCCCAGGTGGATTGGGCGGCGCAACGAGCTCGGGCGTAGGAGATCACGACCTGGTGACCTGATGATCCATGGTGGAAAGCTTCCAGTTGATCGAGCACTGGAAATTTTTGGAACTCATGTGACGTCTGGAGCCGGCTGCTGGCAGCTGCACTGCCTTCACTGTCCTGCAAGGGTCTACCGAGACAGCCAGTGGAGTCCACGTCCACTACATGATGGTCACGGTGGGTAGCAATCAGGGGATGCCAGCGGTAGTCACAGCGTGCCTTTCACTCTAGGCACGAACCAACAGAGTGACACGGCATAATTGGATCCTCCCCCCCCCCGCCACAATCCCTGTCCTGTTCGTCGCTACAACTCCTCTCTGCCCGACTGGACCGTTCAGGAAGGAGGCAGCTCGAGCTGTGACCTCACCGCGAGCACACGACATCACAAAAGGTCCAGGGTTCTGTGCATTCCCTTGCCCACCCACGAGTCAATTTCGTCGTCAAGCAGAGAGGCACAGGCGTTGGCACAGGTAGCTGCCACCAGAAGACTCCAACAGCCAGCTTCGTCCGCCGACAACCAGCCGCCGCTACCTACCCTGAGAGCTGCTTTTTCCCTCGCCTACCTACCTACCTCGAGCTACTGTGTCCTCCGTTCACGTATCCCATCACCGCCTTCCCGGCACACACACACACACACAAAGCATTCCCGACTGCTTTCCACCCCCATGGCCACGCCATCACCGCCACGCCCAAAGACCCCTCGGAGCCCCTCAGGACACCGCTTGACCGCAACGTCCGCGTCCTAGATGGACCACTCCCACTCCCGCTCCCGCTCCGACTCGAAACCCCCTCCGTACTCGTCGGCCCCGATATCGACCTCGACTTCTACATCCGCCCAGATCCAGTCCCACAGCCGCAGTCACAGCCACAACCAGAGCCAGAGGACGCCAGCACCACAGCAGCGTCCCCTCGACACGGCCGCCGCAGCACCCTCGCGTCCGGCCTCACGCCGCCGCCGCCCCTCCTCGCCCGGCGTCGTATCGGCTGCCTTTCTCGAGCCCCGCATCGCCGTCGTCCTCAAGATCCCCAAGGCCTGGAGGCCCTGGCTCTTCTTCAGCCGTCTTCTCTCCATATGTCCCGCCATCCTCTGGGGTCTCAGGCCCGCGCTGCAGCTGCTCCTGCGCCTCCTACTCGCCCTGCCATGGAAGACCCTGCTTGAGGCCCTCGGCGCCGATGTCGCCGCCGCCGGCTTCACCGCAGACGGGCCTCCCGAGACCATGTGCCCGGCCGGCCCAGCGAGCCTGAGAGGTGTGCTTGGCACCTCCAAGGTCCCCAGCACCACGTCGACGTATCCCTGGACCGAGATGTCTTTGGGTGTCATTTGGGTACTTTGCTCTCTCCATCTCTCTCTTTCTCTCTTGAATCCTCGCACAAGAGGCCGACCCATGATACTCACGCATGACTCCTGCTGACGCCTCTGCCAGTGCGGCTCCTCCGCCTACCTCTCCTTCTTCTTCGCCGACTGCCTCATGTCCCGCTGGCTCATCAACTACTCCCCGCAAGCCGCCATCATCCGCCTCCTGACCATAAACTGCGCCAACGCCTTCCTGACGGAACGCATCCTCTTCATCGCCGGCGGCTTCGACGACGCCCGCCTGCTTCTCCCCGGCTGGATCAGCATCGCCACCGTGAGTTTCCTGCTTTTCCCTCTTCCTCCTCCTCCTCCTCCACGCTCCCGCAAGGTCGACCACCTGCGAGCTCGTTCTTCCTCGTGTTTGCTGACCGTGTGTCCCACCTCCTCCCACCCGCAGGCCCTGACGCTGTGCTATCACATCACGCAGCGCAAGATCAACATCCGCAAGGAGACGTCGACCTCGATCAACATCTTCTCCATCGCCAGCTTCGTCAGCATGGTCGCCTTGCTGGCTCACCTCCACACGAGCCGGCTCGATTACCCCGATGCGCCGCTGCTCCACATTGTGCGCGCGTGCCGCCAGTACTGGGCGCAGATGATGGGCGAGAACGACGGCGACTTGGACGCCAAGTGCGAGCTCTAGCAGCGGCTTGCGAGCGAGGCTCGTCAGGAGAGGCAAGACATCGTCGGCACATCCATTTCATTTCAGTCGGGCAGGTTTACGCAGATGATACCCCCTCCAAGTACGCTTTGTCATGAACCCCCCAAATACGAAAACAATAAAAAAAACAATGCATCACTTCACTTGCTGTTTACACATTGTCACCCGTACAAAACACATTCGTGTTGGCGAAGGTAGTGTCTATTCAGCTGGTCTGCTCCCTGTTCTACAAGCCTGCCTAGCTCCGGCTCGAGCTCACAAGGACGAGAACCTTAGGCCTGTTCTCAGGGGCAGACGAGAGCCGTGACCTCCTTGTGGGATAACGCTATCTGTGAATACCGTGCACCAATGGTCATCGGCGCAAGTCGCTCTCGCCTCTGCGGGTGACCGCGTGGCCATGTCTCCCGCCAAGGTCGGCCATCCTGCGGCGCTCGATGAATCCTTCCACGTTCCGCGTGCCATTGATGTGTAGATCATGAGGCACGGCAAAACATGGTTCAGCGGGAAGAATTGGCGCACGTTGGCTCTTCAACCCGCCCTTGTCCCCGAGCGTGCATCGTCAATCTTTGCAGGTTGGCGGTAGCAGGATGGCGGCGACTTGCGTCGTGGCTTAGAAGCCGTGGACCTTGATGGTCTTGGAATCCAACTCAAGACCCTCCTTCTTGTCGATGAGGAACTCTTGGACATCCTTGCGCTGGTCGCCCTGGAGTTGGATCACCTCACCCATCTCAGAGTCGTTGACGATTGTTCCATTGCAGGCTTATTGTCGTCATGTTAGCCATGTCTTACTGTGCGACTGTCGAAGCGATGCAGGCTCACCGAATTTCTTCTTGATCACCTTGAGGATCTTCTTTTGGTCGAATTTCTTCGGAAGACCCTGGACGGTCGTCAGAGTCTTACGTCCATTTCGCTCTGTGTGACGTCACTTGTCAGCGTGGTTCAATCGTGAGTGCTCGCGTCACGCGGTTCAACGTGGATGGCAAGGCTGAGGATGGGGGCGGGCGGCAGCGGCTTGGAACGTGGGGGTGCGGTGCTCATGTGCGGCATTTCAGGAAGAAGGAGGAGCAAGGAGAAAACGGCACGTCTGCCGGCATAGGACTCCAAAGGTCCAAAGGATCACGTACGCTGGATGCGAATATGGATGTAATTCTGAGTCTGTTTGGTTTGTACACCTGTGTCCTCGTCGGCTTCGGCGAAGGGGTCTGTCACAATGTGGTCAGCGGGTGGATTCGGTACAAGGGTGGCAGGGGCGAAAGTCCCGAGGGTCGGTCGGCGGTGGCGGGTCTGGCTTGTTGGGTGTCGAATACGGACGATTCGGGGACACCAGCAACGCAGAACGGACGCTGGCAACGACCGAAGACGCCGGGGAGGGAGAGACGAACCGTAGGTCTTGAGATTTTCAATTGACATAAACTCGGCCGGTCGGGGGTACCTGTGGGAGATGGGTTCGGGATGGAGGGGCACGAGGGCGAGCGACCGACGACTTGGGCAAGTGTCTCGCTGGGCTGAGAGAATCCGGCTGGCGGTGCGGTGTCTGGTCCTTTGAAGGGTTCGGGTGTTGAGCGGAGGATGCGGTGGTGAAAACAGTCGGCAGAGCTGCTCTGCCGGGAAAGAAGGCTGTTGGGGTGCTTCTTATACGATGAGGCTGCAGTCAGGAGGGTGATGTAAGAAAGTGGGCGGGTCGCGCAGGTTGGGAGTCGAGCCAGGAGCTGAATATGAGTAGCGGCTTCGGGGAGGTTCCAAGGACGAATGCGAAGGGGGGGGAGGCGGGCGGGTTGTCCGAGGGGGCAAGGTCAGCAACCCGCCTCACAGTGTGTCCCCCGTAGGTACCTTCCCATGCCCAGATCGAACCAGCATGGCAAGCAGCCCCAGGCAGGCAAGGCAGGCAAACAGGTGCACTCGGGGGGGGCTGAGGGTGGGTGACTTCCCACTGTTCTCGGGAAGGTGGGCTACAAGTGGCTGACGTCGTCGCGTCATTGGCTGCTCGATGGTGAAGTAGTGCTTCTGAAGGGTGTACATGTACACATGATGCCGGTACTTTGAGCCATGTCAAAGCAATGGGCTACATGGATCCCCAGTGCCTCGCTCCGTGTCGATACTTGCTGTATTGACTGCTCGTGTCTTTCAAGCTGCGCCCCCCCAAGAACTGGCCCTCCAACTACGGACGGGTGCAGAACCAGCGAAGCAGGCTAGCCACCTGCTTCGAGTGGGTGGTGAGACCTGCCCTTTACTGTCCGTCATCTGACTCGCGAATGTGAAGAATGACTATTGCCTGGCCCCGACCCTCGAGACCATGCGTTGTCGCACATATTGATAATCACACAAGGCGACTTGCCCCTGCGTCATGTGTCATGTCCCGATTCCGGCCAGACTGAGCCTGTGGTTCGACGACAGGTGCCGGAACTCTTGGTGCTGTGCAGAGATCGATCGTCGATTTACATGTCAACGGTACCTCCCAGCTGCCATCTCTCCGCTCGGACCCCTTTGCTGGAATTGAAGATGCCCGTACAGCAAGCCAGACAAACACATCTTCTCATCAGGCTTCCAGCCAGGACTGGACGACTGAGCTTCCAGAACGGTATTCGCTGGCGCCTTGTGTTTACGGCAGTCTGCCGCCTAATCGAGTTCAGGAACCGGCAGGTGATCCACCAACTTCAAGTGCGTCAAGCCCAGATCTCGCAATGCCGCCACAGCATTATGATCCCGCAGAGCGAGCGTCTCCTCTTCAGATACGAGCACAAAGTCATACCGCAAAAGCCATGTGCCTTCTTGGACCTCGAATTCGCTGCTCGTCACCTCGTCCACCTTGTCAAGGCTCACAACCAGACTCTTTTTGACGCCAAAGACGGCGTCCGAGGATTCGTAAGGATCCCCGCGGATGAACAAAGCCCTGTTCCACCCAGACGTCCCTCGGTCAGTCTCATGCTTTCATCGAATTGTATCAGACACCAAACACATGAGGGTCGGATAACGTACGTGGTCAATTGATCCCACCCTGCTTTGGCAAACATGAAGTGCATGTGCGCTGGTCTCCAACAGTGTCGTCCCAGTAACTGGACCAGCTTGCCCACGGGCCCGTCGTGTGGGATAGGGTAGCTCACAGGCTTGATGCCGCGAAACCAAAAACGACCCTCTTCGTCAGAGGTCATGACACACCGCTCGCTCGGCGCCTCCCTGTCTTGTCGCTGCACGTCATAGTGACCTGAGCTGTCTGTTTCCCAGATGTCGATGCTCACGCCTGCGATAGGGTTGCCATGCCTATCTTTGACGGTACAAATCGCAAGCAAAGGCTCACCGGCCTCATCGTCTGACATGATGCCTCCGTTCAGCAGCGTGGGTGCGTCATGTGTGTGGAAGGGGCCCAAGACGGATCCTTCCGTCGACGCAGCCGGCTTGGGGTGGTTGATGCTGTCGACTAACATGGAGAGACCCAGGACGTCGGAGAGCAAGATGAACTCCTACGTCGCTCGTCAGATTCTACGTTTGCTTGGCGATGGGGGCTTCCCTGTGCCAGTCTCGATTACTCACATGTCGGACATCGCTGCTGATCTGCCCACATCTAACCAGGAAATCCAATGCGGCCATCCATTCTTCCGTGCTCAGCCTCGTTTCTCGAGCAAAGTCGTGCAGATGTGTTACGAGCCGCGACGCAAGGTATGTGACCCGCGCATTATTTCCTTGCGAATTGATCCGAATCGTGTTGGGTGTGATGTTTTCCGTTGTAAGATCTAGGAGTGAGGGGACACTACCGTCTTGAGTCGCCCTTTTTGGCCCCTTTTCCGACATGTTCGCCAAGATCGCGTATCCACCGTCGACGATGTTCCAGTGAAGAGCAAAGTTCCACGCCGAAGCGTCCGAAGCATCAGTAGTTGTATCGAGCAGAAGTCATTCATGAGCGATTCCGCGAAGACACTGCAATGACAAGGTTAATAGTGGGGGATCTTCTGGAGCGGGGTACACGCGTCGGGAAACAACAGCGGTACCTGCTTGAATGCCACGTCCGAACTGAGACCTATTCTTCTCGTGAGGACCAAGATCGATCTCTGTCTTGAATCCCCATTTATACCTACGAGTAAGTGGCATGGCAAAGGTCTGGGTACCTCCCTATCATGTTAAAGGTAAGCTTTCAGCCTCATATTACTCTAGGCAGCAGAATAGACTGGCAGCAAACCAAGCAGTGTCGCCAGGCAAGAGGAGGTAGTCTTTGGAACCGGGCAACAGCCTTGATTACTGTGTTTCGACTGAGACGAAAGGAACTATAGTCGGTAACATAGGCTACTGGCTCAATGTATTCTCTGTGTTGGGAGGACTTCACTGCTTGCGTGAACCCTGATTCATTACTTTGGCTGTGCCTCAGAGCTCTGAAAAAGTAGGGTTAGTGATGTAAGACTTGTAATGATTCTTGATACTCTGTCTGATTTATCTGTTGCAACCTTATCCATATGCAACTGAAGCATTCTGGAAAGATTGAAAACGAAACTTCGAAGCGGGAGAGGGAGCCCTGACAGCTCTACGTGAGGGCCCTCCTACACAGCCCCTGCTTCGGCTTTGACTCTGACACGTAATTCGCTTACTTCTACCTCCCCGCCTCAACTCGAGTCTGATTCTACCGAGGATATTCAGTCTACTGGCGCAGCCCTGGGGTTACTCCTTGTCGCCGAAAGCACAGTCGACATTGTCGCCTTGCACGGGCTCAACGGCGATGCCCACACCACCTGAACACATGCCAACGGCACAATGTGGAACAAAATATCCTGCCGAAGTAAATCCCTGGCTGCCGTGTTTATACCTACGGATATGCCGCAAAACTTGTCTTCAGTCAGTCTTTTGCGGCTCTTTCCGACTATCCAAGAACCCTTCTGAACGCTGTTAGAAATATCCGAGAACAAGCAAGACAAGTCTGCGAGAGTTAAGCTCGTGAGCGGCGAACGGCCGTATTCTCACCACTGAACATAGATCTGTCGTATCTACAATTACCCTGCTGTAAACTCGGATGGTCGCTGCAGCGCTGCAGCGTGTGACCGTCACGGACTTTGTATCTGTGTACGTGGGACTGGAATAACGTTTGGACCATAATGATCATCTGCATTCTTGAAGCGGCGTCGGTAGAGTGAAACTGGTCTCCGATGCACCGATGGAGGATCTCAAGAGCATAGCCGGCTAGACCATTTAACCACCCGGTGGCGACTGCGTTAGGTTCTACCGTTCACTACTACTCTGACCCGATGTTCAGGCCGCAGTTGAGTCTGAGAGCCAGCTTCTGAAATCCATGGTGACGCCGCTCTCGAACGTTCCTTTCTGGGCTGTGTCGACTCCAAGGTGGTGCTATCAGCAGCCCACAGCATGAGGGCTCCTTCGGCCTATACCAGGGATAGAATTCACGTTCTCCTTCGCTCAAGTAAGGCAGTAGCAGCTAGTTTATCGCGCCAGCTAGTTGCAGTAGAGTCAGTCAACCATGGTAAGGTAGCCACTGTCGCACAAGGTTTGGTTGCCGTGGATTTCCGGGATCACAGGCACTTTCTTTTGTGTTTCATACAGATAGTCAGTCTGCATGAACGTTGGTGGGAGCCTCAACTGTCAATGATGACTTCTTGGTGACACTTGACAGAGGTAAATGGAGAAGATCTTGGCCAGCCGATGCGCCTTTTATGACCTGGTGCATGGTGAGTCTCCCATAGGTCTTCAGTGTGGATGACCCTGTTGGTATCATGGCTCTGAGAGGGGCCAAGACAAAAGCCGGGGTGTCATCTTGAGCTGTCAGGGTCACAAAAACGCAGCTTAGATCACCCCCTAGTCACATGAAGAGGGCAGACGCCACAGCCACTACTCAGGGCAGTTGCTCTAACACTTAAAACACGTCTCGCTAGATCTACGTGTTCCTTCCGGCTATCGTTGATGAATACCCCCGTACACTTACACGTCCACGTTCACTGGGAAAGTCAGGATCGTGATTCCCCACGCACCTTCACGATATTGGCAGACCCCGGCCTGTTCATCTACTGCACTGATTCAACACTGCTGCTTCCCCACCAGTGGAATTCGGTACTTCTGGGTAAACCTCCTCTGCTGAAAGCCTTTTCGTCGAACTCTTTGTCCCGCTGACCACTCCCGTTAGCAAACCTTTCTCCCTATCTAGGTAGATACACCAAACACTGATTATCCTCCCGACCTATACAACAAGTCGAAGTTAATACGGTACGTGTATTCCTTCTCTGTTTTGATCTTCGCTGCCCTACCTTTCGATCTCGCCCATCTTCTTTCATCTTGCCTGCCTCCCAAGCACGGTCTGCAACAGCTGAACTTCGATCTCGCTCTTCTACCTTTCTCTTGGCTACTACAGAGGAGGCAATAAGGTCCTGGTATCCTTCCACAGCTTTTCGAAGCACGAGCATCAGTTCCTCGCTTGTTCTCGACTGATTCTCTTCTCTTTCCCTCATCGACAGCGAAAGTAGAAGGGTATTTAATCTCACCCGACTTCCTACTCTTGCAACCACCAGCAGCCCTTCTTCCCTTCACGAGCTCACTTCTAGAGTTCGTCCGGGACTATTCGTCCGGTTTGCTCTCTCCGGTCTGCTCCTTCCGGTCTGGCTCGTCTTGTTCACCTCGCTCGGCGTCCTCCTTCCCTATCTTTATCACTTCTTAGAAAGAAGGAGCTTTTGCAACAGCTTGATCATTACTAACACTACACAGCCTCAAAAGAAGACACCAGCGTGTCCAGCAATATAGTGACTACGCGCCCTCCGACCAGTCAAGATGGCGTCCGGTGGCAAACTCCCCGACGATCTCGGCCTCGGTAGATTGGTTATCAGCCAGCCACGGTCAGTTGTACTCTCATGTGTATGGAGTGATGAGCTAATGCCCATCAGCACCGATGTTGACTTGTCTGCCGAGGATGACGTTTTCCAGGGAGGCCCTGGTGCTTTGACCATCACTGCCCCTCCCCCTGGTCCTATCTCTTCGTCCATGGTCCAGGTCGAGACTTCGCCCTCGAAGGCTCGCGTTCTTGGTTTCCATGAGGACCGCGTGCCCGACGCTCAGGAGTTTTACTCGTCCGAGTTCTGCGTCTTCGTAGCCAAGTATGCCTTCCCTGAGTTGATTCCAAGACTTGACACTGACGGGCAAACCCTTCTGAAGTCTTCCTCAGTCTCAGAGCGACGAGACTCTTGAGGCTGCCGTCACCGAGACGTTTTCAAAGTTTGGTACGGTTTTTGTTAAGATTCGCCGTGATACTCGGAACCAGATGCCGTACGGCTTCGCTCAGTTCACTGTCGGTATCCTAAACACCAGACTGGCACTCCCAGTTGTTCCTGTTGCTCCTGACTGACGCCTTTTCAGAATGCTCATAATGCACGCACTGCCCTCTTGAAGGGTAGAGGCAGTATCATTCTTGGTCGAGCCTGTCGCACCGAGCGTGTGAAGGGAAATTGTACGTTGAATGAATCTTCAACATTGTCCACGAGATTACGCTAAATCTTGCTAGGCCAATTCGTCTTGTACCGCCGAGATGGATCGGTTATGACCCGTGCTGAGGTGACCAACCTCATGGAAGTTCAGGGCACCCTTGCCCGAGTTGAGCCCCTCCACTCTCAAACTCAGTCCCTGACCAACTTTCCTGAGACGGCCTGGCTTATCACGTACGATCTGTTTGATCCCCGTCGTGACGTCGTCGGCGTCTTCGCCAATCACATGACCTACAACGTTCGTCCTTTCAATCATAGGGACACTTCCGACAGGATTCCGGTACCGGGAGGTGGTCATCGTGCCCCGAACGATAAGTATGGGTCGAATGGCCGGTCCATTTACATCGCCAACTTGCCTGTCGACATTGACGAAGCCGCTGTTCGTACCATCGTCAGCGGATTCAACCGAGCTCAAAGGGTTCAGATTCGGCAGACCACCACCAACAGTTAGTCCAAATCACGCAGCAATTGCGTCCGGATCTCATTTTGCTGACACAGCTTCAGACGGCCGTCGGGCGTATGCCTTTGTTGAATTCGATCACGCTGATGTCGCTGACGCTGCGATTGCCCAGTTGGTAAGTGCCAGGAGCACATAGCCTTAGGCATTGCCCTAGACTCTTGACTGACTTGTGCCGTGGCAGAACGGACTCGTCACTCCCGACAACCAGGGCTTCCTTCGTGTGCAGAGGAGGATCATGCACCCCTTCCCTTCCAACCGTCCCCAGGGCCTTCTTCCAGCTCAGAGCTACGTAAACCGTGAGCTGTACCCCCAGGTTATGACCAACTCGGCTCCTAGAGAGATCGGCGAGGGACATGTCCTCGGCGTTCACAACAACATTCAGGAGACGCCAATGAAGCAGGTGCATCATCATCATCAGGAGTTACAGGCGGCTGCTAGCACTCCTTCCGAACTTGATCAGGTCACGCCGGCAAACACTATGCAGGCGCCGCCTCCAAGCATTGCGAATCCGATGAGCCCCATGAGTCCCATGGGCCCCATGAGCCCCATGAGCCCCATGAGCCCTTGGATTCACACCTCACCTTATGGCAACCCTTTCGCCGCCACCATGGGATACTCCCCTTTTGCCGGATCACAGTATACCATGATGACGCCCCAGGCCTCGCCTGCCATGTACTATCCTCAACAGAGCCCGCAGCCTCACTTCTCGCCCTTCGTCATGGCTCCACACATGCCTGCAGCTTACTATCATCCTGGTAGCTGGGCTGCTCATGGTTTCGTTCCCGGTCCTTACATGGTCGACTCGGCTGCCGAAGGCCAGGCCACGGATCAGGATTCCAACAACCACGATGACGGTATCCATGATGCCGAAGCCGGCCACGGCCAGGTCACTTCGGAAGGTGGCGTTTCGCTCAAGGAGGAGTGAACCGAGCCAGCACGTGCGCCCGGCCCCGGGTCGAACAATGGTTGCGACCCCGATCGGTTGGGTGATTGGGGTTCTCACGTTTCAGGGTCTGCTGCTGCGTTTTTGATTTTCCAGTGATTTGGAGTTGGAGGTAGGGAAGATACCCAAGGCGAATATGTGCCTGCGGAGAAACAGTTGACAATCCTGATCAACGAGATCGGAGTGCTATGAAGAAAGGGCTGCGACGGTAAAGCTTCTTCACGCATAGTCTCGATGACACAAAGGCCTGGAGGCTTGTCATACTGTGGAACAGAACCAACTGCGCGATCTGCTTTTCTTCCTGGTTTTCCAGGACCCGGGAGCGGTCAGATGCTCCCCAATACACATGATAACTACACAATACTGGCGGGAATCATGTGATAAGATGCATTGAAGAAATGACGTAGGCTCCGTACTTTGCATTCTGGATCCATGAGCATGAGAAGAGACGTCGTTGTTCCGTCACGTGTTGGGGGGGGTTCAATATGTATCGCTCGTGGCCAAAGCTCGTGTGGAGACCAGAACCAGTCGGCCGGCGACCGAGCCGACAGACTCCCACCCAGTACAAGCTTTCCGAAACATCGCAAGCCAGCCTGTTGCTCCTCCTCCGTCACCCCAAGTCCATCCTTCGGCTGGCACGAGAGCGACACAGACTTCTCTGTGCTGCAGGGGCACGAACATACATCTTCCTACCCATGCACTGCAACCGCACAGAGCCGACTGGCTCGAGGTGACCATCAGCAACAACCTTTCGGCCGATACAACCGGCATTACTGTCACGATGCGAGCAACGTCAGCCCTGAGCAAGGGCTTCATGGGTCGCAGCGTCGATGAGTTCAAGCGGTTGGCCTCAATTGGTGAGGAACTTCCTGTCTCCCTTTTCTGCCGCACAAGCCCGGCGCCGCTCCACCATGTCCGTCTACTAACCTCGGATCATTGGCACAGCTTTCACGGCGGAGGCCGTCAAGGGTCCCTTCGCACCGCTTCTGCTGCAGAGCTTCCCCGACGCACACTCCATCACAAACTGCAAGACCATGTCCGACGAAGAGATCGGCGGCTTCTCCGAGTGCGCCCTCGACTGGGCGCCCTTCTCGAGCGACACCGAGCCCCGACACCCCTCGTCCGCGGCCCGACCGACAGGCTACGCCCGCTTCCACGGCACGATATCGACGGAGCTGCCCAAGGACAAGCCCGAGATCCAGCGCACCGGTTTCGCGGCGTGGCGCACGCTCGACAGGCCGGCGACGGCATTCGGTCGCAGCCTCTGGGACATCGACATGTACACGTACCTCGCGATGCGCATCCGGTCCGACGGGCGCAGCTACTTTGTCAACCTGCAGACGGAGAGCGTCGTGCCGACGGATCTGCACCAGCACCGCCTGTTCGCCAAGCGGCCGGGCGAGTGGGAGACGGTGTTTGTCAAGTGGAACGACTTTGTGCGGACGAACCACGGCTTCGTCGTCGAGCCGCAGACGGAGATGCTGCGGCGCAAGGTGCGCACGGTGGGCTTTGGGCTGACGGACCGCGTGCCCGGGCCGTTTGCGCTCTGCATCGAGAGCATGTGGGCCACGAACGACGTCGACGTGGAGGACGCGACTGTCATCGGCGCTGGCGAGGCGCCAGAGCCGACGAGTGAGCTGAAAGACAAGCAAGGGAAGAGCATCCGCTGGCGAGAGACTTGAGATGGCTGGCTTGCGCCGGACAGGACAGGGGCAGATATATGCGAGTCGCCCGAAAGTCGTAGGATGAACGCGGCAGACCTCATGCAGCGACCTGAAGGCAAACAGCCGACATGGACACGGCTCATACGAGCAGTCAAAACTACATTACAGGGGCACTGCGAGTGGCGGAGACATCGATCCATCTCGAGCCAGCAGGTGAAGGTCTCAGAGGGGCGTCTCAGGGCGGGCAGGGCTCGCGTAGGAGACCAGCCCGGCATTCTGGATGTACGAAGTCTTCGACGAATAGGATTCCTCGGGTCTGGGAGGAGAGGCATCTGAGGAACGCTTTGGAGGCCCCCCTCGCCTTGTGAAATATGACATGTATCAATACGATTTGTATAGATGAGGTCCTGCCTGCAGCCTCCCCTGCAATACCGGACTCGCCATTTTGTGATGCTACGCTTCTCGGCTTATATGAGTTGTTCGTAAGGTACCTACTAAGGTCAAGTACCTGATGGCAGCTATAGAAGATGGAGTGCCAGAATTTGATTGGCCATAAATCAATCTCGATTTAGACCAATCGCGCGGGTGGGTCTCGCATATCTCAAGCTTATGCAGTCAGTCGCGAACCTCGACCTCCCGTCCATATGACAACAGCAACTCCACGGCGAGGTCAACACCACCACAAGGTCTCGCCTAGCGGTCAGGGTCTCCGATGCCACAGATCTGACTCACGCTCTGAACTTCGCAGGAAGGTGCGTTGAGCCTTCGGCCACTGGGCCTTGTCCATCAAAGTCGCGCCCGAAGGTACACTTCACGCACAGGCTAAGCTACCGTGCCGTCAACACAAGCCTCGCATCACGATGCTCACGCAAGTTTGCACCGCAAGGACTTTCAACTCATTCCCGCACATCATATAAACCCATACTAGATCAGCAGATCCGTCATGGCCAGGTATCTCACGCCTGCCAAGATTGGCATACTATCCCTGATTGAGCTCTACACAGATGAGCATGTCCCTAATGCTGCCATCATCCCCGTTCTCTCCTTCATCACTTCTCATGTCCTCGACTACGACCCGGTATCTTTTCACTCCAGTAATGCGGCCAGCTGGGACAAGGCGAAAAAGGCCGTCAGCATCGTTGTATCGATTCAAGACTTCGAAAGCCTTCTCAACCCATACCCCGTACTAGTAGGCTTGCCGGGCAGAAAGCTGTGGGATAGCTTCCTCGACAGACTGTGGGATATTAACTCCCTCCATGAGCTGCACTCGTTCTTTGAAAGACAGTCGCAGGCAATGGTCAAGTCGAAAGAGCAACTGCGACGACAGGGCGACGAAGAACCCGACCAGGCAGGGATACGCCTGACGCGCAATTCACCATTTGGGACCTTCGTCAGACGCTGTCAGCTTGAGTTCTCGCGATTACGGTTCCACGATAGCACCGAGCTCTGGAAGGAATTCGTCAAGTACCGACAGCCGACTGTATCCTACAGGAGAAGACGGAACCCTTCCTTTGGCCGCATGAGCTTCGACCACGTCCTTGAGGTTGGTGAGCACGATGACTGGGACCCGGAAGGCGTCGAGGCTCTTGCCTCAGTTGCCTACGGCAGCCTGCTGACGAGCGCCGAGCCATCGTCTCTTTCCGTGAGCACGGACGATGTCGAACTTTTACTCGAGTTCCAGATCGAGCAGATGCAGAGTACGTCATTGAGGTCACCGAAGCATGGCGCAGGGCGAGCGCTGACTGTATAGAACATGGCAACCGCGTTCCTGTCGAGGTTCAACACAAGTTCCGAGACCTCGTAAAAGACAGCGTTGTGGTGCCCAGCACAGCGCACTATCTCAGGTCTGTCTGCTGCTTTGGCTGACGATGCGTTCCTTTCGAAACTGACGCCTGGTAGCTTTCTCGATGCGTGGCGGTCAGGTGACTATCCCACATCATTCGATTACCTGCACCGATATTTCGACTACACGATGCAAAACCGAGATCGACTTTACTACCAGTATGCTCTCATGAACCTGGCCGTACTGCAAGCCGACTTTGGCTGCCACAAAGATGCAATTACGACCATGCTTGAAACAGTGTCGACTGCGCGGGAGAATCGCGACATGACATGCCTCAACTTCTCTCTCAACTGGCTTTTCCACTACGGACAAGCGCATCCAAACTTGATCCGCGATCTAGAGACAGACAGTGTCCTCGGTGCTGGTAAGGAAAGCTTGGCATATCTTCGCGTCAAAGCCAAGGAGACCAACATGGGCACTCTTTGGAGTTCTGTACTCATCAGCGAGGCAAAGCTGGGCCTCATGAACGGCGAAAGCGTCGCCACATCCCTCGAGCTGTTAGTGCGCAGCTCCCACTTGATCGTCGAGAAGAACATGAAGAACATGTTCGGAGCGCAGCTCTCGATGAAAATGGCACTACTGGACCGGATCGGTCTCGCGCATCTATCCAACATGGAGAGTGAGATGTTTCTGCGCTGTCATGCGCGCCAGTCGGTCTTTGACGATGAATTGAAAGTTACTTGTCGGCTAGCTGTGCAGCTGGCAGAGAGGGGCAAGTACGACGACGCCTTGAAGAAGCTCGAGGCCCTCGACGAGAATGCGCTGCGCTCCTGGAAACCAAGCCAGTACTGGTTCAAGTACCGAGGCATCATCAAGCTCACCCGCGATCTGCGCCACAACAACCTGGACGGTGCTGAGCAGATACTCTCCCAGCTCTTGCAGTCCAAAATGGACGACATGGAACCAGACATAGCCTTCATGATTGACTACTTGCATATTGACTGCCTCAAGCGACGAGGCGATCTAAGCAGTGCCTTCGAGAAGGTGGAGGACATGCTTGAGGAGCTACAAGAAGAGAACCGAGACTTGTCACTCCGCATTCAGCTGATGCTCGTCAAGGCTCATTTGTACGATAAGGCTGGACGACCGCAGCGAGGCTTCACCCTAGCCATGAGGGCTGCCAGCATGGCGTGGCGTGCACGGTTGGTGCCAAACTTGTGGCATGCCATCGGTGCCATTGCCAACATACTCACCTCATTAGGTGAATTCCAAGCGGCCATTGACCTACTGACGGCCATCTTACCGCGAAGCCTGGAATGCGATTCTGCGAGGTTGAGCGGGACTTTGTACTCCCATCTCGCCGATGCAAATATGGGCCTCGCTGGTGGTGCGCCAAATGGCTCTGCTAGGCGGACAGAGTGCATGACCAGAGCGCTGCGTGCCGTGGAAAAGGCCTTCGATTGCTACTCGAGCGTCGAGGAGATTGTCAAGCAGTGCGAGATGATGGCCAAGAAGGCAACGATTATGCGCGTGGCGGGAGACAAGGCCCTTGCCGCAGATTGTGCAGCAACATATGTAGCCCTGCGTAAACATGCCGCCGTGCTGGCAATGTAAGCGACTCTAATTCTAGTGCTCCTCCGTTTTCTTCGTCGCGTGAGTTGAAACACCACTGATCAGTGCATTGCGAGGAACGGCTGGACCATTGAATCACATCTAGCACGCCACGCGTCGTTTCACCGTGGGTTCAAAGTTGAGGACTGGTTGATTGCTCAAAGTCTAGGAAATCATGTACAGTTGTGTCGGTCTGCTCCGCTCTTCTGTTCCCGCCCGCAACACACAAAGACCACAGCATCTCCACTGTCTGCCTGCTCCTCGCGAGGTCATCCAAAAAGTACTGTGGCCTCCGAGTGACAAAAAGCGACCCGCTTATTTGTCCTTGTTGTGGTAGTTGACATCGTCGTTCCAGCTGTGAGAAGAATATTAGCAAGTGAGACTTGGCAATCAGCCTACAGGGGAACGCCAGCGCTTTGCCGAAGAATGATGGAGGCGTCGACAAGGCCGCAGCCCGTCTTGTCGGCAGCGCCCGGCTTCCAACATCAGGTATGGTTTTCGAGGTGATATACGTACAAGATGGTCTGTCCGCATGTGTTAGCTCGCGTCTGATATCCAAGTCAGAAGGGAAACATCAATGTCTTCTCACCTTGTCTCCGTTGCCCCAAGAGAAGTTCTTGGTGCGAATGTTCTGGTAAGAGTACTCAGTGCGCTCCTCCAGAGGGGGCATGTGGCTCCAGTGCTCCCAGTGCTCGTTCCACAGGGAGTAGGCGTTCCAGCCGGCGAGGCCCAGGGCGGGAATGCAGGCGCTACAATATCCATACGTTAGCCAGTGCTCAAGCCCACCACCTCAGAATCCTCCGGCCTCCATCGATAGACAAAATCGTGTCCCATCGCCATCGGATTGGCGTCAATTGATTGTGGACTATCGTGTGGGGAAATCGCTCAGGAAAGTGGCCCGATGGGCAAGGGAGGCCATACTAGACGGAGATCTTCTTCCAGAGCTCTGCGCTGGGTTAGCAAAAGTCCAACAAGGGCAATTGAGTTTCTCGGAAGGGGTTGGAGAGCGACGGACCAGTGGTGCCGCTGGCGTGCTCCTTGGCGTGCTGGCGCTCGCTGATGAAGGCATTCTCGCCGGCAGAGCTGGCAAGACGACGCTGGGCGGGAGCGCGCAGCTGTGCGGCGAAGCGCGGCGCGGCGCGGAGGATCTGGCGCTGGGGGAGCATTTTGGTGTCGTTGAACTGGCGGTTCGGAGGTTCGAGGATGTCGTGATGATGCGAAGTTCAACATCAGGTCATGCAAGCTCGGTTATTGAACGTCACTTGTTGCCTTACGATTGAGGCACGCAGTACACCAGACTCGCTGACTCAACCCATGTTGTGTGTCTCTGATTAGTCAGTTAGGTTGTCCTTAGGTCACATGACGTCGTGCGACTGGTCGCGTCACTGTGGACATGCTCGGTGCTCACTGTCGGTGACATGAACGCGTTCGGTGACCCGCTCTTGAGGCAAAGGAGCAGCCTTTCCACGGCCTCGTGTGCCAGTCATTCGCTTGAAGGCTGATCAGGGTTGAGTTCTATTAGGCTTTCAAGTATCCCGCCGGCGCCGACGACGGGTACGACTTCCTCACTCAGCCTCCAATGCCTATCCCGACCAAAAAGCGAGAATTCATGCGCTGGGGCGAGAGAGCAGAGGGAACGTGAGCTTAGGCAGCCACATCTTTCCACCAACAAACAGGTCATTATCAGTCACCATGCCGCGAATTACTACATGGAACGGTGAGTCATGTCCGAACCGTGTTTATGGCTTCTTCCGCTGACCAAGGTCAGTCAATGGTATCAGGTCCGTAAGGCGAAGACCATGCCGCCACTTGCTGGTGCTGAAGAAATTACTGCAGGAACCCATTTGGGTATCAGCCATGGAGGGAGAAACGGACATTCGAGGTTGGTTGACATGATCGCAACCCACTCTGTAGCTGTCCCACCTGACTATCCCCCAGGCCATGTTCGACATACTGGAGGCAGACATAGTCATCTTCCAGGAGACGAAGATTCAGCGTAAAGACCTCAAGGACGACATGGTTCTGATTCCTGGCTGGGACGTTTACTTCAGTCTTCCCAAATACAAAAAAGGCAAATTACTCACACCCCCAAAGACTGACAGGATTCGTGTCTAACAAGCAGCAGGTTATTCCGGGGTGGTAATCTACACGCGGAATGCCACGTGCTGCCCCATACGTGCAGAGGAGGGCATTTTTGGCGTTCTTTGTCCTCCAGACTCAAGCACCAGATTCCGAGACTTGCCTAAAGAGCAACAGATTGGCGGCTATCCAACCGCTGAGCAGCTTTCCAGCGACATCGATGAAGCCACACTCGATTCAGAAGGCCGATGTGTGATCCTCGAATTTCCTGCATTCGTGCTCATTGGCACGTACAGTCCCGCCAACCGCGATGAATCAAGACAAGAGTTTCGCCTGGGCTATCTCTCTGCACTGGATGCGAGGGTGCGCAACCTTGTTGCCGCGGGTAAGCAGGTCATTTTGACAGGTGACCTGAACGTCAGCCGATCCGAGATTGATACGATTAACCTTTCTGAGCAACTGCGCAAAGAGGACATGACAATGGACGACTGGATGGCCATTCCCTCGCGACGGCTCTTCAATCAGCTTCTTTTCGAGGGTCAAGTTCATGGAGATCGCGATCCTGGGCGCGAGCAACCTGTACTTTGGGATATTTGTCGCTGCTTCCATCCAGATCGTAAAGGCATGTTTACGTGTTGGGATACCAAGCGGAACACGAGACCAGCCAACAACGGCGCTCGCATTGATTACTTGTTATGCTCCGCGGGCATCAAAGATTGGTTCATCGACTCCAACATACAAGAAGGACTCCACGGCTCAGATCATTGCCCAGTCTATGGTACTCTGGGGGACACGGTCAAGGTTGGCGGCCAGGATGTCCATACACTTGACCTTCTTAATCCACAGGGCATGGTCGAGGGTGGAAAGCGATTACGGGAATGGTCGCCGAAAGACTTGCTCCCCATGTCTGCTAAACTGATTCCTGAATTCGACCGTCGTCGCAGCATTCGCGACATGTTCATGAAGAAGCCGGCTGCCAAGGCGCCAGAAAGAAAGACGTTCCTTGAATCACCAGACACCCTCGCCGAGTCCAAGGCAGAGCCAGAGTCTGCTAGTGCTCCTAACCACGAGACCTTATCAGCTCGTTCGGACCAAGGTGTGGCATTGGCGGAGCCCTCGGGCCCAAAGAATTCTGAGAGTAAACCCTTACCCCTGTATTCTCCAACAAAGGAGGCGGCTCGCCCTCAAACATCGAGGCCACCAACAAAGAGGGCAGCACCCACCACTCAGCTGTCGAAAAAAGCATCCAAGAAGAGCAAGACTAACGACAGCCAGTCAGCTGCAAAGGGAACTGCAGGGTCCATGGCGCAGAGCACGCTCGTGGGCTTTTTCAAACCCAAGCAGCCAGCCAGAGATGTGACACCAGCGGCTGTCAGCAGTGCCGAGCCTCCATCGCCCTACCAACAAACAGCAGCCTCGAACGAAAGTAGTCCCACAAAGTCACCAGCTGTCCGCATTGCCACATCATCTACGCCAGATGATCAGACTCGATCGCCAACGAAACCGGGGCCACCGTCCTCGACATCCTTGTCGCTCTCTGCAATGGACAGTGCTGAAACTGTCTTCGACCCAATACAGGTCAAAGAAACATGGTCAAAGCTTCAGCTGGGCAAGAGGGTAGTGCCGAAGTGTGAACACGAGGAGCCATGTATCAGTCTTCTAACAAAGAAGCCTGGCGTGAATTGCGGTATGTATCTCTAGTCAGTACAATCCTGTCAACGCTGTCAAAGTTGGCCTAGGGCCTCCTGCTCTCCTGTCAACTGCGTATTGACTCCTCAGAACCTGCTTTGCGTCGATCAGTCCCTGTCTAGTGACAGAAGATCGTCTGACAATCTCTCCACTCATGAAAACCTCGCTGATCTTTTCTGTACTGCAGGTCGTTCGTTCTACATATGTGCTCGGCCATTAGGGCCCTCTGGCGAGAAGGAGAAGGGGACGCAGTGGCGTTGTGGGACGTTCATATGGAGCAGCGACTGGAAGAAAGGCAAAGTATAGCTCGTTCCATTCCAAAATCGTTTGTCTCCTTACGTGTCAGGCCACAGGGCAGGCAATTCCATTCATATCACCACATATGGGCGCCAAAGGGAAATAAGCCTACATGGCCTACCTACCCAGATAGACCAATTCATCTATACTACACCTGTAGAACGGTCATATAGCTTCTGCTGTGTGTTCCTGGCGTGGCGCGTGCCTGGTCCCCAAGACCCGTCTCTAGGACTAGCCACATGAGAGCCTTGGCCATTCAACTGTGTGTAACATTTGACGTCAATCCTTTAAATGATCACCGCCTGCCCGAATAGCTTTATGTATATCTGGTCAGGTACAGCTCAGTACACAAGTAGTAACAGGTATGTCTGCGGAGCATGGGCAACATGTAAGCATTTTGTTGTCCTCTTCGCTGCATCCCTTAGCTCCATGAGCGATACATATTTCCTGCCACTGGGCCATCGACTATTCAAAGTACCGAGGCCAAACCTGAGCACACAAGGGACCCATGCCCCGGAGCGGCATGCAGTCGAGGAAACAGTAAAGCGGCAGCCTGGTTCAATCGCCACGGGTTGTTGGCGTAATTCCATTCGACTTTTTCCCACAATCGAGTAGCATGTTGGGGTTCTGCAACCCATGGCAGAAGACGAAAAGAAGTTACAGAACCTCTCGCTTCACTGGTTGTCTCAAGGCTGCCCGCACTTTATAGAACAGTCGAGCGATCATCTTGGTAGTGCAACCAACAGTGACGGGCGTCAACTCCCCACTCTTGAGTAGATCATTGCTCAGCACAAAGGTACAGAGATACTCTGTTGATCTGGGGAGGGAGATCCTACTACCGAATGTAGAAGAGTGAAGAATGATACTTCCTTATCCAAGGTAGGAAGTGGATCTTGCTTCTAAATGCAGACACGGCAGTGGCCTCGCGGGAGGATACTCAAAGTGGAATTTAATCCGGTAGGTCCAGAGGCTGCGGTGGGGTAATTACCTTGAACAGGAACATCGCCCTCGTGTCACGCTGTGCCTTCTTGCCCCACCTCGAAGATTGGCCCTAAAATGTTCTCACTTGTTCGACACGTAACACTGGCAGATAGCGAATCTTGGCGTGATGTTTTGGATCACGATACTGGCTTTGAAATAACATCTACTGCCGACCTGGGTCCGGGTCTTCACAGGCCCAGGAGCCCCCAGCCGTCTCATTCATACCCAAGGTAGGCTACCGCCGACAGAGTCAGAGATTGACTACCACTAAAGGTACCGCAACTGATGCAAGGGCTGGCGTTCAGAAGATTTATGACTCTCCGAGTCGAGGGATCATCTTCACAAGAAATTGCGACGCTTATATGGGCACGGCCGCGACCGTGCCACAACGGCACCGTACAGGCAAGTCCGATCTGCTAGGTCCATGGGCGCGCGGTTGGGAAGCTACCTTGGGCATGAATGGAGTTTACCTCAACATGAGCGCCTTCTCCATATTACGTTCACCCTACCTAGGTACCTAAAAGATGGCTTGCGGGTGGTTCTTGATGGGTGGGGGGTCGAGTTTCAGATGTTGTTCTATGCTATGCCTAGTGATCAACTCCAGCACTAACCTGCGGGAATCCCTTTACTCTGCTAACAACCTTACTACGACAGCAGGTTTGGGTTTGCAAAAAGGACAACAGCAACCGCAGTCCACACCTATGCAAGATCTCCTCCAGATTCACGGCTGGCAATGCTACCACTTGTTCAAACGTGATTATCCAAACCTTCCATGCCACTAGTAGCCTCAGCAGCCACACGTCGGTTGCGACGGCGGCGCTCTCCAGGTCGACGAGGAGCGTAGCGGTAATCGGGATGTGCTCGAAGAAGGTTCTGCTTGAGCTCTTCAGCCATTGTCTGGTAACGAGCTCGGACATCGGCCTTCTCCTGCTTCCAAGCCTGACCAAGGACCTTCGCTGAAAAGAATTAGCATGTTGAGAGGACTGATGTTCAAGGACACTGACAAATTTGATTATTGGTGTATGCGGGGTTCGCAGCTTTGATGAGCTTGTGGTGATCTTTGCGATAGAGGATATACGAATTGGGCGGCCGCGAGATCTTGACCTTGACTGTGCGCCTGCTCTGATTTGATGTCATACTTTGAGCTTGTCGAGCAAGAGGTTTGTGAACCAATACGGCACGTCCGTCGATGCTGACGAGCATGCGATTTCCAGCGATGAAGGTCTCAAGAGGGCCAATATAGTAGCGGTCGATGCTGTTATTCATACCATCTTGTACCCAAATGACATCTTTTTGCAGCTGATGACTATCAGACGAGCGTTAGTACTTTTTTGACACACAAGGGGAGACCGACGAACCTCAAGTGTTCTGCGAGATAATCACGACCATGGGCCTGCAGAGCATGAAACTCCGCGGCTTCGACGACGATTACAAACTGAAAAGGATTGACTTGGAGCCTTAGGATCTTCGTTATAAGCTCTTGAAGCTGAGAATCGATGTCGACATTCGCAGTACCGAGTACCTGACATTGCAACTGCATAGACATGTTGCTGAAGGTTCTCGTCTTTGTGCAGTGATGTAAAGACCGTCGATGGCCAGCCTTGGCAGCAGTACGATATGTTGATCTTTTGACGAGAAGTGGAAAGTGACGATGTGATGAGAAGGATGTTCGGAAGATGCTTGTTCTGGTCGACTCTGGATTGGCAAACTTCTTGTGGAGGGAGGTCAGTGGAAATGAAGAGGCAAAGTGAAGGAGAATTGTGGTAGGAATAAATTGAGCTGACTCTTTGGGATTGGCAAGAGCCAGGCTATGGCGGTGGAAAGCTGGCTCGATTCTGGGGGAAGGAGCGGGCAAGGGTAGTAGCAGTCAATGGGCGGGGCGAGTTCAGCAAATGCCGCCCTGCGCTGAGAATAAGTAAAAAAGCAAACATACCTACCTACCTTACCTAGGTAGGTAGTTTATTGAGCGCTCACAGTATTCTGTCTTCGAGCAACTGTGGCAGTTGGCTACACGTTTGGGGGTGGTGATATGGATGCGCCAGAGCCGGAACCAGCTAGTACCTGGTTCTCAATCCTTCTCTATAGTGGTGAGCCAGGAGTTCGTACCATGCGTAGCCCCATTTCAGGACGATTTCCTACCTCATATCAACTCACTAGCAGTACTCTCGAGGGTTTCTTCAAAGTTCCTGTGTGATGACCTAGGATCGCCAAAGTCTGCATCTCAATCCCCCCGAGCCTGCTCAATCTGATGTATTCATGATCCGCGTAAATTCTTTAACGCCTGAGCCCAAGACTTCCAGTGCTACTATTCTGAAGCATTGCAAACCAAGAATTAGTGATTCTCTTCAGTACCTTACCCTCATTCATTCAAGCCTCAACGAGAATACCTCGAGCTGGCGGCTGCCCCATGTTCTGCGCTTCCAGAGCGACACAACCCCACACTGCACAGTGTGAGACGTCGCTACCTCGCTGCCCCCGAAAGTAGGTGCCTACCTACCTACCTACCTACCTACCTTACCTCAAGGTACTTACAGCTCTCGCGGAAACGGGAAAGCGCGCCAACCCAACATCAGTACTTGGGTTCCTTCTGGATCAAATGATTGTCTCTTATTTTTTCTTGACCTTCATGTTTGTTTCCCATCGTCGGCTCTTCAAGTGGCAAAGCTTTCACTACCGTATGTTTTTCAAGAGAACCAACGAACATACTGGCGTCGAACACTGTCAGCTGGGGCATGTTCCAACGCACTCTGCTTTACAGTTCATTTATACAAATTCATCTCACGACGGCGAGGACCTAGTATGAGTTCAATCAACGACGAAGGTGCTGGTGTCGAGCACACTCTGGAGGACGTTCTTCGAGTCATCCCGAAGAGTGTCATTGACTCTCTCTCTCCAGCGTCAGGTTGTCAGTGGACTCTGAGCAAGGAAGGACCGAATAAATACCGCATCTCCTTCAGAACCTGGCAAGTCAACAGTTGGGTCGAGGTGGCTTCTCACGATGTGTCTACGGTGATCTCCGTCGCTGAGATTTACGACAAGTTTCCTGTCCATCGAGCCCGTACCTGTGAGTATTCTCGTCACTTTAAATATCACTAAAGCTAAGTCATTTATTTTCAGTGGATGCAGCCCAGATGCAACAAACTCTACCACACATGCAGCATTTGGCTTACCAACCGGCCGCTCCTGCTCAAGACACCTATGACCAGCCCAGCGATATCGATCAGAACGAAGAGTCAAGCGATATTGCGGCCAGTTCTAGTGACTGTGCAACTCAAATCTCGCACTTCGATGAAGGACAAGTATTCGCGCAATCAAGGCCCAATCCCCGACAGTACCATGAAATTGATTGTCAGGTGTTACCAAGTTCTGGCCAACCAGCATATTCGCCAAACGATGCTTTGAACACGATAACCAACGTTCGCGATGAGAACAACTTTCTGTTCCACCCTCAAGCTGCCATCGCGGCCAACCATATATTGGATTCTTCAACTCAAAACCACGTCAGCGAGTCATTCCCACAGAATATGGACAGCAATGGTGGAGGTCATCTTCATCGAGGTTTTGATCACTCTCAAAACATGGCCCTCGAGAATAATCTCGAGGAGACAATATTTCCTGTAGGTACCTGGAACGAAAGTATCAGCCCCTCTTTGTCCGACCAAGATGAGGTTTTACTTGGCTCTGGCCAGGCACCCAACGTCACCTTCGGACATGAGACTGCTTTTCAAGACTTAAATTTCATGCAAGATGACATGATTGATGAGAGCCTCTTGAGTCCACACCAAGGCCAACCGAATCCATTCAGCAATCACGTCTTGTTCAACTCGAGCCAAGCCAATACAGGAGTTCCATCACTGTTGGAGGATAACACTTTCTTCTTCATCAACAATCATGGATTGGCGATGTCTGTTGAGGATCACAGCTTGCTTCAAGGAACAACTGTGTCAAATGACATGGAGTACACTGCAGGCGTTTCGTCACAACAAGACATCCAGGAGCAATCCAGAAAAGAGCGGTAAGCTGGTGAGGTGAGTTATGGGATCGGCAGTCGTTGGAGTCAAAGTTAATTCCTTTAGGTATAACCAGTCAGCTTAAAGCTGAGGCATCGATTAAGATAATACAACCCGTCTGAAAACCCGAATTCGGGTGTCCTGTTGTAAAAGCAAGATGACACTGGCTGCGGAGTTGACAAAACTACTCACGACCCTCTGTCACCTTGTCCAAAGCAGAATTCAGTTGATACGAGAGGAGAGAGCATGGTATCAGGCAGCGAGCGGCTTGGATTAGCGCAGGATTACGGTCAAGTCCCATACGAAGACCATAGTTTTGTTTTTCGCAGAATGGACTTTCTCAGGACTGACCAGTAGCCATGGTCTAGGATATGGTAACAGCATACTGTGCTGCTGAAGAGATACAGATGAGCAATGACAAGTTTGATCACAGACGCGCTTGGATGTAACACGGTAGCTCAGCTGAAACGCTCAATCCTTTCCACCTTCATGATGACATGAATGGGCAGTGAGAAGCCCACGTAGCAGGGAACTAGATGTCGAGATTAACATACTGAGCCAAGACATGCTAATGCAGCACTAGTTCAGCCTCGCCAGGCGTCCAACGTGACCACGACTGAAAGGGGCCCACTGAGGAGGCCGATCTCATCGAGCCTGCTTAACCCAGATGGGGTAGGATGTACAAGTGGAGTGATATAGATAAGCGGGAGCGAGGTAGATCGATCTAACTGGAGCCAGCCTTGAGTGGGAAGCGGGCTGACCGCAACGGCAGCCGGCGGCCTTGCCTGGTTGCAGTGAGACACAGATCAAGGATTCACGCAGGGCGTCTTCTTTTCCCTGGCCGGCAGTACCTGGCCACCTATACTGAGCAGCGGGAGGGACTTAGAAGCAGGGTGAAAAATGCAAATACTGGGCAACATGCCTGTCCTAGCCTCGTCGGCAAAGCAGGGGTGGATCTTCTCGAGGGGCGGCGGCATTGGATTGGCATGAGGGTTGACTTGGGGGGTGGTGGTAAGGACAATCGATTTTGGAACGAAACGGGCTGGATCGACGGCGCCACTAAAGTACGCACAGTGAGGTCGCCAACGCCAACGCACCTGCAAGACGGGCTACATCAGACGGCGGGAGGCCATCGATGGTGCACGGTTCTCCCCACTTTATAAGAGTGAACATGTCTGGCTAGGCCTGGGCCATCTGTATGATCACGGGGATGTTGGCAGGGGAGCATGGCTCATCTTGGAAGCCTACTCATGCCTGATCAGGCCAACTCAGGGCAGACGATCATTAGACTTGACGAAGGGCCCGACGACCGTGGGCTTGCACTTGCAAGCTCTATTCGTGTGACGTGCAGCCATGTATTTGGCATCTCTTCCCAGGGCAAAGGTCCTCTCGTCCCGTCTGGAGCATTTGTCGACAAGTTATCTTCCCTCCTCGAACGAACCTGCTGTACAGGAAAAGAGCCTCCATGGTACCGCACAGATGGACAGTATACGAATAAGTGGGGAAGCTATGGGGCCATGGCAGGTCGAGCATGCTTGCGTGGCCCCTCTCCATTGCACTAGCGTAATAACAGATCCAACATGACCACATCTCCAACCATCACGAGGTCTAGCGAGCGTGGCAAGCGTGGGCAAGGTAAAAGGCAGAGAGGACGTGCAGCCACATCGCCAGGTCTTGCCCGCGCCGCTGCAGCATGCCTTTCCACCCGATTGCCTGTACGAGCACCCTGTCCAGCCCTGCCTTGCCGACTCGCGCACTAAGATCAGTCTGGCGTAGTGCGTAAGGATCAGCGGTCGATGAAACCAGCGAATGGGGTTGAATATCATCGTCTCCCTTCTGTGTAACATGTCAGGGTTCAAGCAATAAGCCTGGTTCGCTCGGGCGCTGGCAAGGGTCTGGGAGGATTTGGCAGCAACGCCACGAGGGCCGCCAAGGCGCCGTGGGCAGCCCTTTCCCGCTTCCGACCAAGGCGATTGGGGTCGCCCCTGCCCATGCAAGACAAGGTAGCCATGAAGGAGGTGCCACAGATCATGACGAGGAGCCCCGACGGCATCCTCCTCTATCCAACATCCGTCGTTCTCCAACAACATCACCACTGCTTGCCAACCGCGCTAGTAGTGGCACTTCAGCACGCCCCTACATGCGCCTTTCTCCACACGAGTAGGGTACGAGGCCGACATAACGCTATCCCCGCTACTGGGCGATGCAAACCAACGTATCATGGCGCATTGCCTGCCTGTGACCCTGCTCGAAGTACCTACTGTTAATACGCTCGCCTAAACCAAGAGTTGAACCCAATGGCACCTTTTCTATCACGTCCCATTTCTTTTTGTCCTCTAGAGGATGGGCGGCAAAAGTTGGCATTCGGGTACTACGGCGCCCGAAACCATTGACTTTCTTCAGCGGGGCCTATTGCTCAAGGTGCTGTCCGGTTCAATTGCTCCTCTATCTCCACCGTCATGCCGAAACTGAACTCCAATTCGCGAGTTACGACAAATAATCCCCCTCCTTGATCCTTTGGCGCGTCTCGGCCAGGACAAACTCCACCGAATCGCACGCCGGCCACATCTTGCAAGCAGCAGGCAATGGAGACGTATGCAACACAAGAAACGTCCGGGTGCGAGGATCCCCCAGCGATCCGTCGTTCAAAACGTTGCCGTGTTCCATGGTTGTTGGATGCGCAAGTTTCCTTCAGTTCGAAGTACCAATGCTGAAAATCCCTCTTCAAGCCACTGCCGCACAGTAGGAAACATGCATGACCAATACTCTGCTGTAAGGAGGTCTGCTTATCTGGACATCGAATCAACCTTCATGACGAGTTCATGAAACTGCGTTACTCTTGTTTGCTCGAGCGAAGAGCCGCATGGAGAAACTTTTTGCTCCTTGTTGTGCTGAGTTGGTACACCTTTCTCTTGCGCATACTTCTGATCCGGCTACCACCCCCCGAGTGGTCCATGCAAGATTCCAGTTCAACAAAGGTTGCTTTCCACCGACCCTGGAATTTCGCAGTGCTGGCCTCGGGGAAGCGGACACCAGTCATATGCCTGTGCTTGATCGACTTCGGGGGATACGCTCTGCTTGCAGGCAGCGTCTGACCGTCACGGACGCGGAAGCTCCAAGACTCACACGCTGGGGTGATAGGGTGGGTGCTAGGACATGGCACGCGCAACCCTCTGCAAAACGCTTTGGACCGTGGCTTGTTGAGAAGCACTCACCTGTTGCAACTCGAGACACTATTTTATCGCTGTGAAGTCCGACTCCCCGAACTGCGCCGCATGCAAAAAAGCCCAGCGCCGCGATATGATCCTTATGATTGGCTTAGATGTCATGATGATCCGCAGCTTGTGTAACGACGAATCTTTGGCATTCAATTTGGTCGCGGTTCACACATAGCTCTGTCGGAGTAGCCGTTCCGCTGCCATCGAATCCAGTTGTTACTCGGCTCTCAGATTCCCCATTCTTCTTTGTCCGCTTTGGGCGTTGGATTGGAACCGTGACGAGTGCCTGGATGTCGGTATTGTGGAGGTTCGATTGGCACAGGGGCTATTTGGAAGAGCCTCGACCGCCGGACCACCGCAGTTACAATGCCAAGCCATCTCCTTCGCTAGGGTCGCCCGCAGTCTGTCAAACCAAAGGCATATCTGCCTCCTCGCCTGTCGAATCTGAGGTGAGCTGCAGCAAGCGAGAGACTAGAGTGTTTGCGATGGGCAAAAGTCACAAGGAACTTAGGAACGGCTGAACAAAGTGCTAGCGTTGTTAGCTCCAAGGAATTGGAGCAAGACAATCCAGGGCAATGAGGAACGGGCAAAGAGAAAACAAGTCCATCAGTATGCCCCACCTCCAATGTCCAGATGCCACTTTGCGTGCTAGCATCAACTCGAATACTTATCGACGAGATAGTGGTGAACCATGCATTTCGTACTCACGATGCCGAGCATCGCTTGCCCTTCCCCATTGAGGGCAAAGTCAAATGGTCCTGCGAATGTTGCTATTTCGCAAGGCACGGACCTGTGTTGCGACGAAGCGGTAGCATTCTAGCTGCAGACACTGGTCCTACAGCCTACATGAGACAAAAACATCATGAGTCATCCTAGGTTCTACAGAAACAGCGAAACAGGCCGGGAATATGCGCTGCGGATAATCAGCAAGATCCTGTGATTGCTGCATAACACAGCGTTCAGTCTGTCAGGCGCTCTTGTACGCCCTGGTATGACCCTCTTTGGGCGAACTGGTTACGGGCCCACGCCGGTCAGCTTCGGGACCGGGCACCAGAGTCAAAGCCCGGCCCCCTTGCTATCTTCTGACAACCAGCCCAAGAGCTCTTGGCGGCTGGTCTTAGCATCCAATCATTTTCAATGCCCAGCACATGGAGGCCGGACGCCGTTGCATGATCTTGGACGGAAAGGTCGCAGCTGTGTGACAAGGACTTCTGGCCCAACGACTTGGCGAAGTTTTGTCATCAAGGCGCATGCCACCGCAAAGCGCCTCAGGTTTGCGCCGCCGGAATCCGTATTTTCTTTTCCCCATTCTATGGTCCTCTTCTCTTCAACATGTGATATCCTAGTGAAGGTCACGGGTCAATCATCTACACGTTGGGCCTGTCGATGCACCGTCACATCTCCGGCTCTCTTTGTTGCGCGTCATAATGACCATGTGAAATTTACCCATGGCACAATGACTGTCTCCTAGGACCGTAGTCTCTCGCAAGACAGGCGACCGAGCTGCATCTCCTGCTGCAAGCACACCAGGGCCCGGGAATGACCCCATTGGTACACCGTAAAGCATGGGGTCTCTGACAGCTGGCCGTCTGTCTCATGACAAGCTGCCAAGCTGCACCTTGTACATCCTTGGGAGACTAAAAACCTGACGACACTTCAACAGCGGGAACTCCTTAGCTCACACGTCGCTTCGCAACACTGGAATCTGACGCTTGTGTGTGAACGACGCATGTCATATCAGTGCCGTCAAAGACCGATCGAGACTACAAGCCGGGAGTTCCGTCCAAGCGGCCGTGATGGAACATTCTTTCCATGCTTCGCTCAGCTAACAAGCAGAGGCTAGAGGAAAGCATGTGGCTGGACGGTTGCAGCTAGGGGACGCCGGCTCAAGCTGAGCGGCGAAACGACTAAGCGGCCAAGTGCCACAGAGCGGGTGAGAAGACGTCGATAGAGGGTGGACCTGGAAAGACACAAGACTATGCTTTGTCCCAGACCGCAAGCGAACCAACAAAAGCCTGGCTTGTATTTCGGATAAGACACTAACTCTGACGATCCTTACAAGAGGCAAAGAGACGGGAGACAGGCAGTGGAAGTCCCGTGCCCTCTCCCGACTTCGACGCCTCGCCACCTCTCATCCCTGCCCCCCTGTCCCCTTCTGCGGAGGAAACGTTCCATCGCGAGACATGACTAGCTTGCCAAGATGATCGCGCCTTCTCTTGGGGGAAACAGCCCTTAGCTGCGGGCGCTGATGCAGCTCTAGTCCTCTTGGTACGAGATCTTGCGCATCTCTCCCAACCTGTGTCGTGCTGCTGCAAGAGCATTTTCGAGTTGCTTGATCTCGACCTGTACAGTGCGCGAAAAACGTCAGCATCTTTTACTACATTCGCTTTCTCACCTTGACAATTGCCCTCTTTGCCGTCTTTTCGCGTCGCGTGGGGGCAGATGACCGTGCCGCACCGGGTGCTCCGATGGTGGCGAGCGTCATCTGTCTCTGTGTCCGCGGGGGCCTGTGTTGGTTTACGTACCTGTTGTTCCATCTCGCGCACCTTGAACTCGTGGGCGCCGAGCTTGGAGTAGTCGACCTGCTCCTCGTCCTGCTGGCGGTCCTTGATCATGCTCTGCACCTGGCGCACGAGCGCTCTGCAGGCCGCACCGACGGCCTTGCTCGCCGACTCGAGGTTTTCCTGGCTCTTGCTCATGAAGCCGGCCTTGACACGGCTGGCGGCGACGAGCTGGGCTGTCGAGGCAGCCACATCGTTGGACGCGACGATGAGGTGCTCCGGGCTGTTACGGTTCGAGAGCACCCCGTCCGCCGTCTCGATGAGCGTGTTGGTCGACGACGCGACGGCTTTGGCCGCCGAGATGAGACCCTCGGTCCACCTGTTGTTCTTCTTGTAAAAGGCTTGTCGCGAGGACGAGCCCCGGCCCGCCTGCACAATCTCTTGCTGTGTCACCGTTGCCGCCTTGATGAGCTGCGCGATGGCATTGGTCACAGCCATGGCCGCATCGAGGATCGAGTCGTGCACCTTGAGTTCGTATGTCGAGTACCCGTCCCGCGGCTTGTTCTTGAGCTTGGCTAACCTCTGCACGGCCGCCGCGATGGCGTCGGCTGCCTTGCTCAGCTCCTGGTCCATGATGTCGCCGAGGTCGCCCTTGCCCGCCAGTTTGCCCGCGCCGGGCGCAAACGTCTCGACAAACTTGTTCAGCTTTTGGAGGTTCATCTGCACATCATTGTTGCTGTTGATGACAACGTCCGTCTTCTGGATCGGGTCCATGCCTTCGAGACGGAAGCTCTGGAGACCGCGGAAGAACTTAACGGCGGCTTGCGCCGACTGTCGGGTGCCGTTGAGGAGCGTATCGCTGCTCTTCTCGTCCGTCGCGAGGCGCGTGAGACCCTTGGAGTTGCTGCACACATCGGCAATAGCACCAGCGAAAATGTTGATCGCCTTGATAAGCTCGGCGTGCGTACTGTTTGGCCCGTCGGCAATAAAGTTGTTGAAGGCAGTCGCGAACTCCATGGCGTTCGAGGACGCCTTCTCGATCTGCGACAGCACGTAGGAAGGCGAGGCGTTCTGATTGCCTGCCTGCATTGTAGAATCCAGCTCATAGAGCGCATCATCCACGCGCTGAACACCAGACTGCAGCACCGAGTCGATGATGTCGTTGATCTTGTCAAGATTGGCCATGATGAGCGCATCAATCTGGCCGTCCAGAGCGTGGTCCGTCTCGCCCTGATTCTGTCGCAGCTCGTTGAGCTCGATGAGGGTCTGGTCCATGCCCGCCTTGTAGACCTCGAGCTCTTCCTCCTTGTCGCGCAGAAGCTGCTCGATGTCAGTGTTGCCATTGGCAACCTTGGAGTGCGCGTCTTCGAGAGCGCGGGACTTGATGCGCAGCGCCTCCTCGAGATCGGCCATCTCGCGGTTGTACTTGGACAGCATCGTGGACAGCTCGTTGCCCTTGCTCCTCTCCAGGTTATCCGCTTTGTCGAGGGCCATGCGGAGCTCGCGCTTCAACTTCTCAACCTCGTCCTTGCTGCTGCCCGACGCGCGGTCCTTGTCGTGAAGGGCACGGTCTCGCTCCCTGATCATGTCGGCAAGCTCTAGGTTCTTCGTCTTGATCTCGCGCTCGAGCTTCTCGCGTCTCTCTATCGCCTCGGAAGCCGAGGCTGCCTTGAGCTGCACCGTCTTGAACTTGTTGAGTAGGTCGAGGTGCTCTGTGCGAAGCTGGGAGTACAGCTTGGCGAGCGCCTCGTACTTTGTCCGCCAGGTGTTGACCTGCTCCTGCAGGGCTGCAATCTGGTCATCGCGACTCGACATTTGCTGGCCGTAGTTGCCCTGGATCTGGGCCAGCTCGTTCTCCAAGGCCTTCACCCGCTGATCGTATTGCTGCAGCATCAGCTGGTCCTGCTCGTACTGCGACCGTGCCCGGAAGTTCTCCTGCTCGAGCTCGGCTAGCCTTCCCTGGGTCTGGTACTGCATTTGCTGCTGCATCAGCGCTTCTTGCTCGCGCTTCTGCTGCTCCATGAGCTGTCGCTGCTGTTCCTCAAAGTCCCTCTGGGCCTGCAGCGCAGCTTGCTGTTGAGCCATTTGCTGTGCGTTCTGCCTCTCCTCGAGCACTCGCTGTTGCTCCTCGTACTCGCGGTTCTGGCGGTCGAGTTCGCTCTGCCAGAACTCGTTCATGTCATCTGGCTCTTGCGACTTGGGCTCGGGCACAGGCGTGGGGTTCCGTTCAATCTCCTGCTTGGGCCGTGCCGGCAGTGCAGGAGCCTCGTCATCCTCGGCGCGTAGGTTCGGGGCGTCTTGCGGGAGTTTCGGAATCGTGATCAAGCTTGTGAGGTAGCGAAGGTTGGAGCATTCGTAGTAGAACTTGGTGAGACGGTAGTGCTGCGCCTCGTATCTGCTGCGCAGGGGTTCGAGAGCTTCGTCATCGCCAGTCGTAGAGTGCATGGCGCGCAGCATGCTGGTGATGAACTTGTAAATTCCGTAGCTCTCCTGCACCAAGGGCACCAGGGCAGAGATGCGGCATTCGTTGTTTCCCGCATGTCGGAAGTGGGAGAAGATGAGCTTCTGGAACTGCTCAATCTTGTCCTGCAGGGTCATGAGGTCGGTGATGGTCTCGTAGCCCTCGTTCGGATCGTTGATCGCCCTCAAGCTGAGATATTCCTCGTACTCGAACGTTCCGTTGAACTCGGGATGCTGCTGATGGAAAGATAGCTTCGCCAAAAGGTAGTAGACGTACTCCCTGATGAGCGGGGCGTAGCCCCTGACACCTTCTCCGGCCAAGCCGCGGCCCAACCCATCGACCCAGCTCTTTTGCGACATGGCCTCCCGAAGTGTTGAAGGGTGGCCCTCTTGCAGGACCTTGTGGACGGTAATCAGCGCCTTGAAGGTTTGGACCTCGTCGGCGAGGAGGGGCTGGCTGTTAGGGAAATCTGGTCAGCACTGCACAATGCCATGTATGATGCTAGGAGAGGAGGGGAAGCGAGACATACACCTTCATGCCCGACCAAAATGCCTGAGAAGACCGATGGTCCCATGTGTATACAATGCAGGCACGGACATGCTTGCGCTTTGGAGCCGTCTCGTCGGCACTGGTAGCTTTCTTGATACTAACAGCAAGCTCCTGGTCGGTCCTGGTTCAGAGCATCAGCAGTCGTATAACGGAGGCGGAACGAGCGCGTTGCATACTTGGTGTGCGAAGTCTGCAGCGACGAAGACATCTTGGCCGATGGCTTTGAGTGGCGCTAGCCGAAAATCCTTATTGTCGAGAGGGGAAATGGCTGGAGACGGTATCACAGCGCCTCGGTTACGAGAGTATATGAGGCTCCGATTGCTGAGGGGCAGCCGTCGCCTTCTTCAGTTGATACTTCGTGACGGCAGCGTTGAGAAGGAAGCGAGCCGAATGATTCGGTGCTGCAAATTGGAAAGCAAAGCGCTGGGTGGCAGTCGTCAGCAGTGACGAATGTCAATGTGGGAGCTCCAGGAGATTCGTGGTGGGCGGCGTGGTGGCTGGGTGACGATGATGCGCAAGCTGCACGCTGCGCCAAGACGTTCATGCGCCCAACGCCAGGCTGCCGCCAATTGGAAGGTACCTGAGGTGGGTGGTGTTGGCTTCGCTCCCCATATTTATGGCTTACATAACGCCCAGCCAGGGAACGAAATGCAGTTTGACAATTTCTTCACGGGGGAGAGGATTGTGTCTCAAACCGTCTCAAGGCAATGTAAATTTCACCAAAATATTGGCGACGCGGTGACTGCCGCAGGGGCACAGAAGGCTGTCGTCCTTGAGAAAAGTTGCCGGCTTTGGGTGTGGCGAAGAGAGCAAGAGCCAAATTGAACCCGCTCATCGCCCCCATGATGCTTCGTCTGAGTGGATGGTGGGGCAGTGCGACGACACCGTGCCTAGCAGAGAATGCGGCGGCGGTGTCACTCAGCAAAGGAAATAGTCACAGCTCTGGCAAGCGGCGGATATCCTAGTGTCTAGGCGGGAGCGACCGGACTATGGCAATCTTGCAGTGTATGACACTTCAGTGCTAACAATATCATCGAACCTCTCACAAGGAACACGTCATTGAACTTATCATGTAGATACACGAGCCCACCCGCCGCGGTCATCGCGTTGGGTGCAATGTTACAACATGAAGGCGGCTGCGGCGAACGGGTGCTGACTAGAGCAAAGTGACACGGTGGGCTGCAGGTTTGAATACCGAGATGCCATGGTTTTCATTCCCTATGGACCTTGCCGAAACCTCGATGCCTTTCCATGCTGAAATTTGTCCGATTCACGTGTAACACCCCATGCACAAGAAAAGCAAGTGATATCTTCCATTCATGCCGAAGACCACTGTCCATGCCGCCGCCCGTGACTCGGATGAGGGGCGGACCCTTTTCTATGGCCATCAAGCCCCTCGACGACATAGCGCATACGCCTTCCCAACCATTTTCAGCACCTCCCACAAACAACACCTTAAATCGTGGTCTCGTAGGCGAGGGGAGTGACGGTCTCGGGCACGTTCTCCTTGAGGGAGATGGTGTGGGCGTCGCGGGGAGCGGCAGGAAGACGCTTGAGGAGGACGGTCTTGCCCTCGGCCTGGGCCTCCTTGCGGAGACGGGCGTTCTCCTTGACGCGGCGCAGGAAATCGTCTCGGGACCGGGAGGGGCTGATGTGCTCGACGCGGATGTTGATGCGCTTCTCGATGTAGCGGTGCTTGACCTTCTTGTAGATGATGATGCCGACGGCGGACTTGCTGACGTTGTAGACAACGCCGGTCTTGCCGTGGTAGACCTTGTGGGGCATACTGTTCCTGGTGTTAGCAGCCGTCTCGGACATCCGACACCGCGACAGCTTCTGCGTCGCCAGGTGCGTAGGTGGTTTGTGGAAGTCGTCTTACCCCTTCTGGACAGCACCGTTGGCCTTGATATCAACGATGTCACCGACGCTGCAATATCCGTGTTAGAAACTTCCGTTTTCTCGTGTGCCGAGTCGAATTGTCGTGGTTCAATCGTACCGGTATTGCCTGAGGTAGGTGGACAGCTTGATCATGCCCTTCTGGCGGAAGTTCCTGGAGAACGCATACTGCGCGCTTCCGTCAGCGTTTCGTTCAATCGAGAGTTGGTATTCTGAAATTGTCACATACACGCGTACCCGCGCGAAGACCCGCAGCGTGACCCATCTTGTCGGTATATTGTCGTCGGAGGGGTGGTCGTCGGTTTGGTGTTGAGGATCTTGGATCTTGAGAAGCGACGACTTGTTCAAGGCGAAAAAAATGTCGGGTGTGTGCGCCGTGCTTCGCAGGTGGACAGGGCGGTGCTGATTGGGTGTCCCGCTTGCCGGAGCGGGGTGACTGCTCTTACCCTATGCTTAGGGCAATTCTTCCTCACGTGATACTACGATGGCCCGAGCTTTCAATGCTGGGCTCCACACCGCACAACCAGTCTTTTTTCCAGTTCGTGAACTTTGTAGTCTGGTCGCAAATCCTCGTCAACCACGTTTGCGAAGCACCAAGTCGGCAAGATGGCTCCGTAAGTCGACGACGATACCTCGGGCTCAGAGACGACGCCTTGCTAACATACTTTGAACAGTCTTTCCTACTCCAAGACCTCGCGCGTCCCGCGTCGCCCCTTCGAGGCCGCCCGTCTGTCAGTATCTCCCGGCCACTGAACATGAGCTTGCTTCTGTTCATGTCGTGTGAGCGCCAAACTGACTTCGATATTCCAGTGACTCCGAGCTCAAGCTCGTTGGCGAGTACGGTCTCCGCAACAAGCGTGAGGTCTGGCGTGTCCAGCTCACCCTCTCCAAGATTCGTCGTGCTGCTCGGTATGTCCTTCTTCGACTTACCAAAATACGAGGACCAAGTCTTGTCGAGGAAAGTCCAATCTCTAACACATGTCGCAGTCAGCTCCTTACTCTTGACGAGAAGGACCCCAAGCGTCTCTTCGAGGGCAATGCGCTCATTCGCCGTCTCGTCCGTGTCGGTGTTCTCGACGAGTCCCGTATGAAGCTCGATTACGTCCTTGCCCTTAAGGTCGAGGATTTCCTTGAGCGCCGCCTCCAGACTTGCGTCTACAAGCTCGGTCTCGCCAAGTCCATCCACCACGCCCGTGTCCTGATCCGCCAGCGCCACATCCGCGTCGGCAAGCAGATCGTGAACGTCCCCTCGTTCATTGTCCGTCTCGACTCGCAGAAGCACATCGACTTCGCTCTTACCTCGGCCTTCGGCGGCGGTCGCCCTGGTCGCATTCGTCGCAAGAAGGCCAAGTCGGCTGAGAAGAACGACGATGGTGAGGAGGATGAGGACGAAGAGTAAATCTGTCGTCAATTCAATCTTCTACAGGCTTTGGGTGGTTCTTAAAAACGCGTCGGGCGGTGGAAATTCCCACCATGGACATTGGGCGGTTCATACTTCAGGCGTTAGCCAACGGATCAATGGCATGACCTTCATGAAGCAAAACTTTGTCCACGATATCACCCATAAAGTTGTCCCATCATGTGTACTAGTCGCAAAAAGCTGTGAAGATGTGAAGGGTATCATTATTGTATGACTGTCATATCATTGTACAAGTTCGTCTTTGCCCAAGAACCTTGCCATGGGATCGTTTGCGGCTGTGCGCTTTTTTCTGTATTCCTCCATTTCAGCCTCAGAAACCCCTCCCATCATCTCCTCTGCCGTTCTCTTTTTTGCTGCACCCTCGCTCTGGGGCTTCGTCTCGAGCGGGTTTTCGGCCGGTTTCGTGGATGATGCAGCTTCAAGCAAGGCCTGGCCGGTTCTCTGCCGCTCAGAGGCATCCAGAGCTGCCTTGCCCTCTTCCCCTGTGCAGTAGCTGTTTTTGACAAACGAATGACAACATGCGTATCCCCATTGGAAGTCTGACCACCAACTACCCCAAACAGACGTGTGATTATGCATCAAGACGTCTTCAGGGTATTTTGACTTGGCAACGGCCTTCGGTGCACCCTTGATAAGACCGCTTTCGTCGTATTCGACATATCGCTCTGATTCGGTGACCATGTTCTTGACTTCATCCGGCATCTTGTACTGCGAGTCGTCGCCGTACATTTCGAGGAGCTTTTTCTCCTTCTCGATACGTTTCTTTTCAGCCTCTTCGAGCTGCTTCTTCCGGTAGAACTGACCGGCGGTAGGATTTGCCTGAAGGTGCTGGCTCGTATCGCCTGTCTTCTCTTGCGCCTCCCACGCGTAGTTCTGGGCCTTTTCGAATTCGCCTGCATCGCCTGATGCGCGCATGAAGCCCTCTTCGGCAAACATATCGGCCGCCTTGTCATTCGTGGCGCCGCCATCAATGAGCGCTCTCGTCTTCGGGTCGTACTTGGCGGAATCCAAATCGAGATTCAGGAGGTATTTGGCGGTGTCTTCACGCAACCTGAGCTGCCGTGTCGCGGTGCTCTGGTGCTTGCTCATATCGTTTTCCTCGGCATACTTGTCGCCGTCGTTCGCGCCTTCGTCCTCTTCATCATCTCTGGCCGGCAACGCCTTTTTGCGCAGTTCTTCCATCTGGTTGAAGTCTTCCACGACACTGCGGTATTCCTTGGAGTCATATCCGTTCCACCGGTCGCGCTTCGCATCCCAGCCAAGCTTGACATCTTGAATCACTTCGTCCGCCTGGATGTCGCGCCCCGTCCACTTTGCGCCCTTGGCTCTTGGTCGACTAAGGCAGTCTTTGGCCTTATGCGTCATGGCGCCACAGTTTTCGCAAGCACCCTTTCGGTATTTGGTGGCGGCCGGGCCAGCCTTCCTACCGCGATCATACCACTGTGATTGTTCATTCTTCTTCTGCAGACGCTGATGCTCGAGGTAGTCGTTTTGTTCGTCGCCTTCTTCGCCGGCATAGAAGGGCCTTTTACTGATGAAGGAGGGAATGTAGATGTTCTCTTCTTTCGAGGCGGCTCCTGCGCCAGAGCCAGTCTTGGAGTCCGGCCGACGTGGTGGCGGGGGTGGCATTGTGGCGGCAGCAAATAATATACTGACGATACAAGGCTGTTCTCGTTGTCACCTGGGCCTTTCCGCTTCAGCACTTGGAAGTATTTGCAGCAACCGCGTTTCCCTTTGATGGCGACAAGGATCAAAAAACGGCCGGAGGTTCGGGTCAACGATTAGATAACATCGAGCATCCTGAATGGGGAAAGCTCCTTATGTAACATATGTGTCACGTGATCGCGCGACTAAGTCTTGTCACGTTGGAGCAGGCAGGCAGTCATCTCACACTGGAGTCGCGTCACGTTCCTCCTGCAATTAGGTCTCACCCTGGCTTCCTCCATAATGGTGCCGCTCAGTAGAGCAATGCAACGTCCTCCATGATCTGAAAATCCCAGTCATGGACCTCTTTCGGGTCAGGTTGAACTGCTTGGACCATTATCAAGGCACGTCGACGCGGTTTGATCCCCAACTACGGAACGATGTCCACCCCTCCCAAGCCGCGAAGGGACCAAAAGTCCCTATTGTGAGGGCTTTTGGGTCCACCGAGACGGGCCAGAAAGTATGCGCGCATATTCATGGAGCGTTTCCCTACATGTATGTCGAGTATAGCGGCAGCCTCGAACAAGATGAAGGTGAGGACAACCTGGCACACGGACTCGGTGTCGCTAATCAAAATAGTTGGCGCATACATCTATCGTTTACATCTTTCCATTGATCATGCGCTGGCAGTCAGTTACCGCCGTGATCAGTATTCAAGAAATGCCAAGTTTGTAGCACGAATCACTCTCGTCAAGGGGATCCCGTTTTATGGGTTCCATGTCGGTTACAGGTTCTTCCTCAAGATCTACATGTTCAACCCCATTGTCATGACACGCCTGGCAGATCTTTTCCAACAGGGCGTCATCATGAAGCGGAAATTTCAACCTTATGAGGCCCATCTCCAGTACTTGTTGCAATTCATGACCGACTTCAATCTCTACGGGTGTGGGTTTCTCGATGCTTCAACTGTTCACTTCAGAGCGCCCGTACCGCGTTGTACCGAGGAGGGGAACTCGCTACACTTGTGGCATGACCAATCAATCCCGCCAGTGAGCATCCTGGACGACTTCTACCTCCCTAGGGTGAGTCGTTGCGCAATTGAAGTCGACATCTGCGTTCAGGATATCACCAATCGCAAAGTAATCAAGGAACGTCTGCTACATCACGATTTTGTTGAACGCGTCAAACCACTCCGCTCGGATCTAAAATTGGTCAACAGTATGGCCGGGCTTTGGAAAGACGAAACAAGGAGACGCAAGCTCCGAATGACAAATGCTCAGCCAGGCAGTAGCCCCTTTCCAGCCGAAGTCCTCGTATCCATGTCGGCAAATATTCGACAGACAGGACTTCCAGGCTGGATACACGAGGAGGAGTACCGAGAGGACCTAGAAAGACTGATCGATGCAGAGAGAGACCAAGAAGATCAAAGCCAGCCCGGCTTTGATACCTTCGTCGAACAGCATCCTTTGGCAAACTCGGTCAAGACTGCTTTGCAGTCAGTCGAAGATTTATTTCCAGCGAATCTGATGCCTGCGCTTGGTTTGGTGACAGAGATCACCGCCCCTGATGAGAATCCAGCCAGCAGCATCGATGTTGACGAGCAAAAGATTATCGACAAGCACTTGCTTGATGCGAACGACTTCCCGAACGACTCTGACGAGGACTGGCTTCCAGCTGTCAACTTTTCAACTGCTGCCGCGAAGGAGGATTCGAGAAAAATTCTTAACGAGGCTGCGCCAACTCTCAATACTCACAGGACGCCCAGGAAAGGGTCAAGTGCCGGGCAACGAGGTATTCTGCGGGAGACGACACCCGTAGTAGGGCCGTTCAAGGGCGTCTGCATTAGTCGGCTGACAACTGGCATCCCTCACGTTATCCCTATTCCAAGAGAGCTGCTTGCGATTGCGGAAGTCGACAACATGGTCAGCAAACGGCGTGGAGCACGGGAATCCAAGAGCCTGTTCAACACGTCTGTAAAACGACGAGCCTCTGCTGTGTTGGGAAACGAATCTAAGCGCCCGAACTCCGGCCATACACTATCCCAGCACAACACAGCTGCAAGAAAACAAGAGGACAAGTTTAGGGTTCTGCCGAATGTTGCTTCCGTCCCCGAAACGAAGCTGCCGAGCAAGTGGTTGTCACCCACATTCAGGAGTTCGACTGGACCCAATGGTCGACAGATATTACCGCCGGGGCGAGCCAGCCATGCATTGGGTTTTCCGGTTGTCAAGAGCCAAGACGACCCAAATACCAAGTTGCGTCTCAGTCAGATCGACAAAGACAACTTTTCATCTTCGGGCTCGCCAGAAAAACACGTGTTGTTCAATACAGTTGTTTTGTTGACAGGAGAGAACGGCTCAAAAGTCCCGTTGGCTGGAATGACCAACGTTGGCAAAATTGCAGACGAGGCTTCGAGCTCGTCAAACACATCATGCTGTGCATTGAATGCACTGCAGGCCGTATCTGACGGAAAAGTCATTCTTCTCATTGGGTCTTTGCCGCCCTCGAAGGCAGATGTTACCACAAGTCTCGGCGATGGCCACACGCCGGACGTTATTTATCAAGATGCGTACTACAGCAATGAGTCGGACGTCCCTCTGAAACCTCGAGAGTATGCTGGCAAAGAGTTTCGTCTGGAGAGCAATACTTTACCTTACCTTCCGGATTTTGATCCTAAGCGTGTCTTGCAAGGTGGTGGCATGTACGAGGAAACGGACAGCCCAGCATTTGATGAAGCTCTTGGCGATGAGCAACGCGCAATGTGCTCCTTTAGAGGCTGGGAAATCGCCAAGCCTCCTCCCAGTTACAGAGAGGTGAAGATCTGGTGGGAGACAAAGCAGACGAAACGAAAGTCAAAATCAGATTCCGCGCTCAAGTCATTGCAGAGCCCCAAGATGAACCATCATTACTCTCAGATTGATGGGCCAACACCACGAAACACTCACGGATTCAAGTATACCCAGAAGAAGAAGTCAAGTGGCATCAAACATGAGATTCAGTATATGAGTACAATGAGCTTGGAGGTGCATGTTAACACGAGGGGTCATCTTGTGCCTGATCCGGAGCACGATGAGGTCCAGTGCATTTTCTGGTCAATCAAAGCTGATGGTTCGATAAGCGTTAGTCAGGAAGCTGCCGGGGCCATGATCCAAGGCATAGTCTTGCTTTCCTCTGATGGGAGCTTGGCGGAGAGGGTACGACGGCAAACATCTGTCGAGGTAGTCGAGGAGATGGAAGAATTAGACCTCTTCGTGCGGATGGTGGAGATTGTGCGAACCCATGATCCCGACATCTTGACGGGATACGAAGTTCACGGAAGCTCCTGGGGCTACCTCATCGAACGCGCCCGCGTCAAGTACGATTACGATCTCTGCGACGAATTCTCTCGCATGAAAAGCAACTCACATGGAAGAATTGGCAAAGAGAATGACCGTTGGGGCTTCAATACTACGTCGACCATCCGCGTTACTGGCAGACACATGATCAATGTTTGGAGAGCCATGCGCGGGGAGCTGAACCTGCTGCAGTACAGCATGGAGAACGTCGTATGGCATCTGCTGCACCGGCGTATACCTCACTATTCGTGGAGCACTCTCACGAAGTGGTACAAGAGCGGCATGCATCGCGATATGAGCAAGCTGCTGCGTTACTATCTGAGCCGTACACGACTGGACATCGACATCATAGAGGCGAATGAGCTGATTCCGCGGACCAGCGAACAGGCTCGGCTGCTCGGCGTGGACTTTTTCTCAGTCTTCTCTCGCGGCTCCCAGTATAAGGTTGAGTCCATCATGTTTCGTATTGCGAAGCCCGAGAACTTCATCCTTGTCTCTCCCAGCAGGCAGCAAGTGGGCGGTCAGAACGCCCTAGAGTGCTTACCGCTAGTTATGGAGCCACAAAGCGCCTTCTACAGCAGCCCAGTGCTCGTCTTGGACTTTCAGAGTCTGTATCCAAGTGTTATGATTGCATATAACCTGTGCTACTCCACGTTTCTTGGTCGTATCACCAATTGGAGGGGTATGAACAAGATGGGATTTACTGAGTACAAAAGACATCAACGACTCCTCGAGTTGCTGAAAGACCACATCAACATCACGCCCAATGGCATGATGTTCGCGAAGCCTGAGATCCGCAAGTCTTTGCTAGCTAAGATGCTTGGCGAGATCCTCGAAACTCGAGTTATGGTTAAGAGCGGGATGAAGCAGGACAAGGATGACAGGTCGTTGCAGCAGCTCCTCAACAACAGACAGCTGGCCCTCAAATTGTTGGCAAACGTCACATACGGCTACACCTCGGCCTCTTTTTCCGGACGCATGCCCTGCTCAGAGATTGCGGACAGCATCGTACAGACTGGACGAGAGACCCTTGAAAGAGCGATTGCCTTCATCCACTCACAAGAGCGGTGGAACGCTGAGGTGGTGTATGGTGACACAGACAGCTTGTTCATCCACCTCAAGGGCATCACAAAAGATCAGGCTTTCGACATTGGTAACGAGATTGCCAAGGAGATTACCGACATGAACCCGAGGCCCATCAAACTCAAGTTCGAGAAGGTTTACCACCCGTGTGTCCTTCTCGCCAAAAAGCGTTACGTCGGCTACAAATACGAGAGCAAGAACCAGGTCAAGCCCGACTTTGACGCCAAAGGCATCGAAACGGTGAGACGGGACGGCACCCCGGCCGAGCAGAAGATTGAAGAGAAGGCCCTGAAGCTCCTGTTCGAGACAGCCGACCTGAGCCAGGTCAAGGGATACTTTCAAGCGCAATGCGAAAAGATCATGCGCGGCACCGTCTCCATTCAGGACTTTTGCTTCGCCAAGGAAGTCAAGCTCGGCTCGTACAGCGACAAGGGCCCGCCGCCGCCGGGCGCCATGATCAGCACGAAGCGCATGCTCGAAGACGCCCGCGCAGAGCCGCAGTACGGCGAGCGTGTGCCCTACGTCGTGGTCACCGGCGCGCCGGGCGCTCGACTAATCGACCGCTGCGTCGCTCCCGAAACGCTCCTGCGCGACTCGCAATCACAGCTGGACGCCGAGTACTACATATCGAAGAATCTCATCCCGCCGCTCGAGCGCATCTTCAACCTCGTGGGCGCCAACGTTCGCCAGTGGTACGACGACATGCCCAAGGTGCAGCGCGTGCGCCGCCTCGAGCAGCGCACGGGCGCAGCAACGCGCCTGGGTCAGGGCCTAGGGCAAGGCCAGGGCCAGGGAACCAGCCGGAAAACTCTCGAGAGCTACATGAAGTCGGCCTCGTGCATCGTCTGCGACGTCAAGATGAAGGTCGAGGGCACGCTCTGCGAGCGGTGCCGCAGCGACGTCCCGCCGAGCATCCTCAACCTGCAGAGTCGTCTTATGCGCGAGGAAAAGAGATATCTCGACGTCGTCAAGCTGTGCCGTAGCTGCGCGGTGCTGCCGCCTCTCGATGACGTGGCGTGCGATAGCAAAGATTGTCCCGTCTTCTACTCACGGGTCAAGCAGGCCACCAGACTAGCTGCCGAGAGGAGCGTGCTTGAGCCGGTGATCAAGGAGCTCGGCGCCGAGGCTGCCAGGGCGGCTTTGGAGTGGTAGGATGCTTTCGATCGGTGCGAGCCATACGCTTTTTTAGATAGGCTGGGAAGGTCCCTTGATTTTGTTTGCATAGCGAAGCGAAGATGAAGGGTTTTTGTCCTTGAGCCACATGCGGTTCATGCAGGAGGTATGATCATGAAACGGTGCGAAGTCGGCGATAAAGCAATTCCACCCCCGTGACGTGCTTCCACGGTGAGTGTGTACGACAGTAATGTCAAAACAAATCCGAGGTTGCATCTCAAGCTGTTCATCGTATTCGACATTCGTCCAGTCATCCCCGCCCCAAGCTATGATGAATAAATCAAATAATACCGTGACTACAGGATGTGCACCCAGACTCCCGGTCCTGACTGGCATGCAGCTCTCGTGCCTAACTCAATGTTGAAACAAAATGATCCCTGAAGCCTCAATTCCATATTAACTCCTCAACTCAGCCGGCACCGCAGCTAGATCTCGTTTCGCTTCAGCAAGCGGCGCCTCGGGTTCGCCGCCTTCCTCCTCGGTGTTGTCCAGCCATCCGGAAAAGTCATCGTCATCATCTAGTAGTACTTGAGCCGGCCGCGCCTCAATAGGACTGTCGGCCTTGCGGCTGGCCGAATTGGTCAATCCAGTGGTTGATCCCTGCTTCACCATCGGCGTAGCGTGGTCTTCTTCGTCTGGTGTCAGGCGTGGTTTGCCCGAGGAAGATCCTGTTTCCTGCACCCCTGCCTCCCAAGCTGGCGCACGACTGGTGTAGTCTGTCATCTCCTCGTTTAAGGGGGTGGAGGGTTCCGACTCCATCGGCGCCGCGACGACGAACAGGTCGTTGTTGCCCGTTTCCTCTCGTATCTCTCTGTGTCTTCGCGACGGCATGGGAGGTTTCCGTTCGCCTGCGCTGTTGATGCTGTCATCTGACTGCGGGCGATCGGGCAGTGATGGTGTGGGCTCCGGTTTCCGTTTCGACGGCACGGTTATCGGAGTCACCTTTTGCGTCCTGTCAGGAGGAGGGAGCGGGGTCCCGGGCGGCGGCAGCGGCCTGCCCCGACCCATCGGTTTGTTGAGATCTAGCGGGGGCTCCGCTTCTCCTGAGATGCCATTCCTTGCATCTTTGTGCCTTTGTATCGCGTTCCAGCCCCATTGCCTTGCCTGTGTGGCCGCGTTCGCGACGGCGGCGAGCGTGACCCGCTTCTGATTTTGTTCTTCGCCCTGAGAGCTGCTGTTTGCAGTATCCGACGCGGTATCGCGGCGGAAGAGTCCTGTAAGGGAGCCCGGGTTGCTCCGCAATGAGCCGGCGTTGCTCCTGAGCGAGCCAGCATTGCTCTTCACGGATCCTTTGAGCGAAGACGCGAAAGAGGCAGCTGAGCTGTTGGGGTCTTCGGCAGGCGCAGACTCTAGAGAGGAGGCAGTGCTACGACGACCAGCTGCAACAGGCGTCTTCTCTGTCTCTTTCTCGTTGTCGGTGTCCTCGCGTGAAGACGGGGACGAGGGGTCGGTGTCCTTGGCCAGGGATGCAGGACGCGCTGGTGAAGCTGTGGGTGTCTGCCCCGTTGAGCCCATGGAACGGGCCGACAGGGCTGCCATCATGGCCGAGGCGTTATCCGAAGGTGGCGAGGACGGCTTAAACACATCAGCGTGGGCAGTGTCGGTGCCCACGATAGGGTCTGACGGGCTCGACATCGAGTTGGACCTCAAAGTCTTGGGACGTGAGCTGGTAGGACTGTTCGGCTCGATACCCGTCGACACACCAGCTGTCGAGGGTCTCAATGTCTTTCCTGCCAGCTTACGACCGAGGAGGCCTGTCGGTGGCACGTTGTCCGATAGGGGAGCGCTGTGGCTCTTCTCGACAGGCTTTAGGTCAGCCGTGTCAACATCGCCGGATTCTTCCAAACGATTGACCGTATCCACATCTCCCTCTTGTGCCAGGTTTGTCTCCACACTATGTGAGACGACGACGGCGTCATCGCCTTGCCAGATGCCTCCTCGCCACTTTTTATGTTCCGTATTGAAAAAGGGGACATCGTCCCAATATGGTTGAACGAGCGTTTCGGCGATGACCTCCTTCATGCGGTGCTCAATCTGCCGCAGAATGAGGGTGTACGTGATTTGTCTTGAGCTGACAATGGGCTCAATGGTCATCTCCATCTTGGGCATAGTCTGAAAGGAGAACCAGACGCGGTTGCTCGGCGGCGGCTTGATCTTGAAGAAGACGTGGCCGTCAAGCTTGTGCAGCACGACAGCCAAGACGAGATCGACCTCGCGCACCTTGAAGCGGGAGCCCAAGTCGAGACGAGCAGTGGCAGCCACTTCCATGCGAAAGTTGCCGTTGTATTTCACGTCGGCCTCCATGCCACATTCCCCCTCGACGCTGAGATCCTTGTGTCGCGGATTCAGCAGCACGGGCGCTGAATCGCCTGTATCGATTTTGCGAATGACTATGTTGGTCAGGAAGGAGGGTCGTTTCACTCGGGCTATCTTCTTGGTGAGCCTCTCGCGGATCATGTGCTCCAAGTCGGCCGTCTTGTACAGGCCGAGGAAGACGCGCCCAATCATGGCGTTGAGCCACCGCGTTTGTTGGTGGTCTTCTGAAGAATGCAGCTTCTGTACCAAGGTGATGATGTTTTTGACGTCAAATTGCTGAGGCTTGGGTGCCTTCTTGTCCAGGTCCATCTCGGAGTATTGCTCCTGGTGGCGAAGGAGAGCAAAGTAAAAATCCTCCTTGGCCGAGCCGTCTTCTGAGAAGAGATAGAAGGGCTTCGATAACTGGCCGTCGGCGCCGACATCGTCCTTCCGACGTGACAGGCACAGAGCATTCCTCTTGATGAACAGCTCGCCCTCTGGCGTGACGTCTCCTCCCGAGTATATGCTGATGGTATGGTGGGCCAGCGAGACGACATGGCGCACTTCGATCTGCTCCTCGTCGTCGAACAGCATGATGTGGCCGTGCCTGTGATTGCACAACAGAGTCAGCTACCGAGGCACCCAACAGCGAAAAAGACAAGTCGGTGCGTGAGAGTGTCAGGGTTGGGGGATGGACTAGACCGACCTCAGCACGACGTAGAAGACATTGCCGGCATTCTTGGGTCGTTGGTTCGCGGCAGCCTTGGTCTCGAGCGGTCCAGGTCCCTGCTTCCTGTCAAAGATGCTGCGATACATGGCCTGGTAGACGCTCTGGCTGGGGGCGGCCACGGTGGCGGATCCGACGGGGGTGGCCCGCTCGATGGGGCGGGCATTGATGCCCATGGGCGTGTACTCTCGACACACGGCAAAGTAGCCAGAGGCTACCTCGTTGTCCTGCGTCGACCTGCTCTTGGGAGCATCCTCCGCCTCGGTCTTGGCCTTGTGGGCCGTCCTCGCCCCCTCGAGGCCGGCCAGGTCGTCGTCAGGCTGGACGATGGCGTTGGGGTCATGACGGTCAGCGTCGACGTCTTGTCGGTAGGGCAGGGTGTAGTGAGCGTGTGCAAGGACGGCCACGACGACGAGAGGGAGGAATGTCAGGCCGCCGAGAATGTAGGCGAACAAGAAGCCGGTGAAGCTGCCCATGATTCCTTCGGACCTAGGGCCAGTGTCGATGACGGTGCGCGAAGGAAGGCGCGCTAGCAACTGGTCGGGAGGCCAGGTCGTCGAGGGGCCGGCGATGGCATCTGTACGTGAAGCAGTGCCAGATGAATAAATCTAAGCAAGGTTTTGCAGCAAATGAATACGGAGACAAAGAGCGATGGCGACCGACGTGGTTGACTGACGGTGGGTTACAGACCGTTGTGACGAGGAAGGTTTGATGGCCTGAGACCGAGGGTCCAGCATGTACCTTGCCTTGAGCCTTGAGCCTTGAGCCTTGAGGTGGGGAGCGGGGGGGCCGGAATGGGGACAGCAGGGCACTGTGAGCCAGGCACTAGCTAGGCATGCCTACCTGCCTAGGTACGTAACCGCTGACGGCTGACGACGGATGGTGGGTTGAGAGGTACCTACCGTTCAGTCGGTCCCCCGACCCCGGTCCCAAAACATGCCCATCAGCCAAGTTGGCTGCCTTTGCCGGCACAGGACCAGGTCATCAATCAACGACACATTTGGACGGTCTAACCTGCAAGGGACAGCAGTTGCAAAGGAATGAGATGGCTGGCTGATCGTCAGCAGCCGGCTACCGAAAACCCCGATCCGCCTCGTATCATTATGCTCCCGCAACACCTCTTCTCGTCTCCATCGCCCCCCCCCCCCCCCCCCCCCCGGAAACCGCACAGAGCGAAAAGCGAATGGCCTCTCCTCCGAGAACCTGCTCCAGGACTCGCCAGCAAAGACGACGTAAACGACAGCCCACCTGCCGCCCGAGTTTCGGGACGGTTTGTCCACGGTCGGATTGGCCCGCAGAGCCTTGGAAGAGCTCACTCGTCGCACCAAGCGCCCAGTCTCCGCCGGCCGGTAGAGGCAAGTTCGGCACTGGAAGAAATACGTCATGTGATTTCCCATGCCGCCCGCCATGCGAAGCTCTCTCTGGTGGAGACGCTTCCCAGCCTTGGCACGTCACTCGACGCTACTGTCATCGTCCCGCACAGGGACGATCGACACACGCCAACAGCACCGCCTTCGCACTGCTATCCACTCGTACCTGATTCTGATTGCCTAGGGCTGATTGCCTAGGGCTGCTTGCAATGTCCCTACCGAGGTATGCATCGTGCTGCCCTGCCATGTCGGCCATGATGCAAAAACAGCACTCGAAGCAGCAGTACACACGTTCTTCGTCACTCATCATGGCGGCAGCTTTATGCATTACATTGGTGGATAATAAAAGTGTCTATCTCGTCAATGTGTCGCTCTCCAAGTCCCCTCATACCGCGTCATCATGCCTTCCACACAAACACACACCTCTGGTTTGAGGTGTTGCTCGGATGGTGCGGTGACGATAAGCGTTCTTCCTGGTCAAGCGCCAAACCGAGGCAAACAAACGAAGCAGAATACGCAGGACAATCGGTAAGGAAATCGTTTCTGGGCCGTGGCCCGTGTGATGGTGCTATGCTGTGCAGCGCAACCCCTGAGACGCAGAGAAAAGAGAAAAGAGAAAAGAGAAAAGAGAAAAGAGACAGAGGCAGAGAATGATGGTGGCGTGGAGGATATAGTGTTCCATCAGGAGAAGGAAAGAAGACACAGGTCGTGGGAGTCGTGAAAGTCGTCGCGAGTCGCGAGTCGCGAGGTAGTCATAATGATAATTCCCATGGCGTGAAGCCCAGTTTTTGTTGAATTCTGGTGTAACGAGTGACAAGAAGGCAATCGAAAAGACTGAGTGAATGGCGTACTGTTTTCTGTTTCTTTTTTTTTTCTGGTAGGAGAGTGTGTTTTTATTTGGTTTGTTGCTTCTTCTTTTTTTTCTTTGCTCACAGCTCGAGCCAGGCCGGACCACCGCCGGTTCGCTCAAGCGCGGGATTTGGTGGTGCTCATGGGCGTGGCGCTCGGTGTTGTCGATGGTCCAGTGTGCGAGTGCGCATGGCTGCCTCGGGATCGCTTGAGGGCCGAGTGGTGGTGAAGAGTGCCGACGTCGTGCCGTCCTGTATGGCGTTAGTCTATACCGTCTTTCTACGTACAAGTGCAAGCGACTTACCATCACAGCAGGCGCGGACATTCTCCAGCCTGTCTGCTTCGCGATCTTGTCGCTCAATCATCTCGCGAACATCCTCGGCACTGTCATGCACCTCGCTCGCCTCATAGATGCTGTTGCCGTACTGCCCGCTGGCTGTCCGGCTGCGGAGGCTGGAAAATGTGCCCGAAATGACCTGGCTGTTCTTCCAGTACCCGCTGAGCCGACCAAGAGTTCCAATCGACGGCCGCTGCGGCGTGGCATTCTTCTGGTGAGTTGGCGTCAACCGGGGCACTTCCATCGACATGTCAATCGCCGGCGACTGGTTCCTCGTCGTTCGCGAATTGTAAGAAGACAGCGACGGGGCCATACGCGGCCTGGTGCTGGGCGCCGCCGAGGCCGTGGGTCGCATGCCACCAACTTGGGGGTTGAACTCGTCGACGTCTGCCTGCGTAATGTGGCCTGCCATTTCCTCCGCGTCCGTCTGGCCTTCATCGTTTGTACGCAGAAGGAGGTACGAGAGAGCGTTGAACCACGTCTCGTGCCTCGAGCCCGTCGTACAGGTGAACTTGATCTGCCTCCCGGGAGAGACAACAATGAGACTCTTGCGGTGCAGGCCAGGAGGCATCGGGTTGTCGTCTGTCACAACTCGGACGGCTTCGATGGAGACACTCTTGGCCTTCATATCGGCACGGCCCGCCGTCGAGGGATCGCGGTCGCTCCAGTACAGAGTACGTGTATACGGGTGCACCCAGAAGTAGCGGCGGTGTCGGTTCTCAGACATTTGACCTCGTCCCGCCTTGCGCGTGTACTTCCAGAGATACTCGCCAATCATCGTCTGCGTGATGGCCTGGATCATGCGAGGATCCGTGTTGGGGCCGAAGCCTGTCGCGTCCACGCCCAGACCGTTCGCCCTGATGTTAAAGCGCGTATCGATCTCGGACGCAAACGAAGACACGGACGAGCGGCGACTGCGAGCCGAGGCCTTGGTCGGTGAGTGGATGATCGCGGTCCCGTGTGCCGCGGTACCCGTCCTAATGGCCTTTGGTGTCGGGGTGCCCTTGACGGACACGGGGGATTGTGGCCGGACACTGCTCGGGGTCTGAGGTCGCTGACCGCGCATGGCCGAGGCCGGCCACAGAGGTGGGCCCATGACGGAGGCGGTCCCAGGAGTTCCGTGCGCAGATCCGCTCCTAGCAGCTTCGATGACCTCCATATGGTTTTGCGGCAGCGGCGGCATGGGTTGCACGTTTGAGTTGCGACGGCTGCTTGCGCTGCCAGGTCTCTGAGGCGCCGCCGTGGTATCGTGTTGTGACTCAATAGACATGCGCCGGACACTGCTCAAGCTGGCTTGGTCCTGTGAGTAGCGTCGAATACGAACGGTGCCGGGTGTGCCAAAGCTGCTGCCCATCGAGAGGGACTTGTTGTGACTCTTCGACCTGGCATTGAACATATCATCGATGGCATCTGCAGTCAAAGAAGTCTGGGCTGATTGATCCGACATGGACACTGCAGGCTTACGAGCAGGCCGAGACTCGACATTGGAAGAGATTTCCTTGAAAGGCTTCTGGGACTCGGGCGTGTCGGGGTGGCGAGACTCGCTTGGAGACTGGCGAGTCTCGTCTTCGGCGATCACAGGTCCCGCGTCGCTGCCGCTCTGCCCTCGGCCTGCAATTCCGCTAAACAGTGCGTCATCGGGAGTTCTCAGTTGATCGGCGTTGACAAAGGGAGACTCCATTCCTCGGGGGAGAATAAAGCCATCCCGCTTAGGGGTGCGAGGGGTCAACGGGCGCGTCTCGACAGAGTCGATGGTCGAGAAGGCAAAGCGGGGCGACAGCGTGTCTGGGTGAGAAGGAGTGATAGGCTCAACCTCCTCTGAAACGACTGAAGATAGCGTCAAGGATGGCGGGACGGGACGAGAGCCAGGTCTGGGTACGACCTCCCATGATTCAATACCTGAGAGGCGCAAAGGAACTTGAACAGGTTCTGGCTCTGCTCGTGGCTCAACATGCTCGGAGTGCAGAGCAGACAAGGACATGGCCGGGAGGGCAACGGCGGGCTCCTCCGGCTCAGCTTGAGGTTCGACATGTTCGGACACGATGCCTGAAAGGGCAAGCAGGGGAAGAATGGGCTCGATCTCCGGCTCGGCAAGCGGCTCAATATCGTGTATGGAGAGAGGAGACATGCTCAAAACAGGAGCAACTGGAACAGGCGGTTCGGGCTCGACCTTCGGCTCGATGGCTTCGGAAACGAAGTAAGAGAAAACGAGCTGCGGCATAGGGGGCGGGGGAGGGAGGGGCATTTCAGGCTCTGCTCTGGGCTCAACAATCTCAGAGACCAAGGCAGAAAACGCGAGCTCAGGAGCCGGCGGAGGAGGCGGGGGTACCATCGCAGGTTCTGACCGTGGCTCAACAGCTTCGGACCAGTGTGAAGAAAGACCAAGCACAGGAGCGGGTAGGATAACCTCAGGTTCGGCCCTGGGCTCCACGGTCGACGACATCAGTGGTGAGTACTTTAAAATAGGTACCGGGACAGCCACCTCAGGCTCCACCTTCGGCTCGACCGTCTCCGAGAGAATCGGCGACAGTCGCAAGGCCGGTGCCGGTTCAGGAACGGGCTCAGGCTCGGCTTTCGGCTCAATGGCAGTGGAGTCCAACGCGGTGAGCGTTAGCGCCGCAGGCGCGGGAGGGAGTACCACGGGTTCGGGGACTGGCACGATGTCTTGATTGTCAATGGCTGAGAAGCTCAGGCTTGGGGCTGAGGGCAGAGCAAAGCCATGTTGCATTGTGGGTGGGAGAGGGAACTGAGACAGCTCTCTGTCCATACCAGGATCGTGTTGTGCACCAGCATCGCTGTACGACCATGTTGATGGTGGCCTAGAGCGGGGGAAATCTGGTAGACTCGAGGCAGTGGTGTCACTCTGACCTGAGTTGGTACCGGCGTCGAGCGTAGAAGATACAGACGTGGGCCTGTCGAGAGCAACGACACTGGCTGGGGATCGCGGGGTCAGGGGTTCCATAGGTTCGGTCATGACGCCGCAGTCGACCATGACAGGTCTCGTTCTCGTCAGGTCGGGCGATGGCTCGCGGGACTTCTTCACAGGGTCGGTCATGATGCCACTGTCGACCATCGCAAGTTGAGGTAAAGCGAGCACAGAGGGCGTAGTGCTCGAACTCTTAGCCACAGATGCAGGGGTGATAGACCTAGCTCTGCGACTGGGCGTTGCATCGAGGGACTCGGCGTCGCTGCCTTCGAGCTCTGCCAGCTCGGCGAACAAACTCTGACCGGCTTGCTGGGGCGTTCCATTGGCACTGCTGGTTGCAAAACTGGCCGGGCTGCTCTGGAAGGTGGGCTCCTCGCTCGCCTGTCGCGAGCGTCGGTTGAGGAATCCGCGGCTGACCTTGAGGCGCATTTTCTGTTGTGAAGAGTGCGCTACCGGCGTTCTCAGGTCGCTGTAATCCATATCTTCGTCGGCCGATGTCGACGCCGTGCTGTGGAAAGAGTTTCGGTTTCCAGCAAGCGTCAAGGCTGGCGGCCTGCGGGACCTTGAAGGGCTTTCCGTCTCGGTCTGGGCGTCGTCGTCGTCAGAGAACTCTTCTGCGCCGGTGTGGAAGCCTTCAGTCTCCGTGCCACGTTCGTTGGCTGTCTCGAAAGCGGCATCGCTGGTCTCGTTGGCAGTGTCAAACTGGTCGCTCGTGTCGGTGGTCATAGGATAGGCGCCGGGCCCAGGCATGCGCGACGTGGGAGTGGAGTGGGTGGAAGAGCGTCTGGGACTGACGCCCTCGGAGTGCTCTTCCCATTCAGGGTCGTCGACAATTTCGCTGCGACTTGAACGAAGACCTCCCAGCAGAGTCTTAGCGGGCTTCTTGAACTCTTTAGAATCGACTTTGCGACTGCGACGGTTCGTGAGACCACCAGAATCGTGGCGAGACCTTTCGAGCTCATCGCGACTGTCCTGGAGGAGCCTCTTGAGCTCGAGCTTCTCAGTCTTCTCGCGGTGCAGCTGCGATCGCTGGCTTTGGATGGTTCGCTGAGCATGAAGAAGGGACGTCTTGAGGGTTTCGGATTCGAGAACAGAGTGGCGTGGAGTGCCCTTGATGGGCGAGGGAGGGGGTGAGTGTTCCGGTGTGACGTTATCGTTCGCGGTCTCGAAGTCTTCGTCGCTCATACCCATATGATGGTCTCGCTCGAGGCCTCGTCCGCGTTGAGACGAGAAGGCCTTGGCAAGTTCCTGGTTCTGGCCCATCAAGTCATCGATCTTGCGTTGCAGAGTTGTGCGTTCGGTTTCTGCGAGGGCGGCGCTGCGTTTGGCCGTGCCGAGCTCTATATCGTGATGCTTGATGGAGGCTTCGTGCTCCTCGGCCAACTTCGCGTGGGAGAGCTTCACTTCGTCGAGTTCCTTCTGGGCCTGGTTCTTTTCGGCCTGGAGGATGTTCAGAGCCTGGGTCATCTTCTTCTCGCGATCTGTGCCCTCTTTCTGGGAGGCCATCAGCTCGTGGATCTGCGTCTCCAGGTTCCAGTTTTCGTCCTTATAACGATGCTCGCTTTCATCGAGGGTCTTGACCCGTTGCTGGAACCCTTCCGTCTCGATCTCGAGCCTAGACTTCTCGGCCTTCGTATCCCGGAGCTCCTCATCCTTCTCGGCGAGAAGCGCCTGCAGGTTGCGGACCTGGGCGAGCAGAGAGGTGCTGATCTCTGCTGCGAATTCGATATCGTGCACCCGGTTCGAGGGTTGGTTCCTTATCTTTCGGTTCGGGACGCTGAGCTTTGTCGGTGATCCTGTGGCTTGGCTCTCGAATTTCGATGGACTGACGGAACGCTGCGAGATCATCATGTTAGTGCATGTCAGTCCCGGTGTTCCGTCTGCTTGACTCACTCTTCCGCCGCGACCTTCCGGTACATATGGTGAACCTCCAGCGGCCTCGTTACTGGGCACTCTCTGCTTCGGCAGGAAAGCCCGCGCGGTTTCCCGTGCTACATCGTTGTATTCCTTTTCAATCTCGGCAAGCTTCGTGCGCAGCTCATCAGTCAGATCTCCTTCAGCCTGTAGCTTTTCGACCTCCTTCAGTCGCTGAGCCAGCTCTTTTCGCTGCTGGACAAGCGCGGTTCCTAGCTTGCCAGCTTCTTCCATCCGACGTTCAGTTTCGGCGAGGTGAGCCTCAAGCGCACGTTTCGCCTGGCCGGGGGAAGATGCAGGACCAAGAGCAAACAATTGGCTGTCGAAGTTGGAGTATCGGTGGTGCGCCGGTGCGGAAGGCGACACAAAAGGGTCGTTAGAGCCGTCTGCATCGCCCGGAGGCAGCAGTGGCCTGTCGGCGAAAGATGCCGCCATGGTGATGTCCAGCGGTCAAACGTCGCGTTCAGGTGCTCTTCGTCCGAACCATGCGAGGCGGTTTCAAATGGCAGTTGTTGATTCGGCGGTTTCTTTGTTTCCCGATCGGCGGATCGCCGTGAGGGGGGTACCGGTGCACTGTGGACGTCTCTCTGCAGGTTCAGGGCGAATTCCCAGCAGCAACTGATTGGCAAACAATGCGATGCGCGGGGGAGTCGCGGGTATGGCTATCGAAAGGTAGGACAGAAGCGTCAAGCTGTTTGAGGCGAAGCCAGTCGAACCCTGCCGATACCTTGACGCGGTCGAAGCAAATAGATCAGAAACGTGTGAGCGAACGATTCGGTCGAATTTCGGGCATGAAAAGGAGAGAAGGACAGGCTGATCCCGGAAATCAAAAGGTGGTCGAAGGGTCTGGCGAGGGTTGCAATCGGAAGGAACTATCGGTCGGCAATTGTCGTGTTTAGAGGGATCGTGATTGTTGTTGTGGTGGTACTCAGGATCGTCGCTGGAATGTGAGGGTGGCCGAAATAGACAACCCAGAAATGCGTAGCCCGATTGATGAGACCTGGACGTTCGTGCTGACTGCCCGCTTTGACCGAATTCCGCCAATTCGATGCCGTGGCCCAGCAAAAGGCCCAAAAGGAGCGTGTTGGGGAAATCAGACACTGACAGCCTATCAACCTCGCGCAAATGTCACGTCTTGACGCGCTTGCGCAACCTAAGCTCGAGCAGAGCAGAAAGCGTGCCCCACGACAAGACAAAAAATCTCGAGAGCCTCTCGAGGTAACAAGCAGGGACAGACAACAATGGTATTATTAGGGAGGCCCGCCTGGCGAAAGTGGGCTGCTGACCGAAAGAAGGGCTAGGAATGGCGAGCAATCGGAAGGGAGAAATGGCCAAGGTCTCGGGGAAGTGCGAAGAAAGAATAGGGCAGAGAAGTCAAGGGATCAATGCAAACAAGAGAGGGACGAATGCTGGCGGGGAGCTGCCGGAAGCCGTCTCGTCTCGTTTCCCTCCGCGTCGTTTGGTGTTGTCTCGCGTGGACGATAGGCGGACGAGGGGAGGGGGAGAGAGAGGAGAGGGGAGCTGTAGGTGAGGTCGGAGTCGAGGTGAAGATCGAAGGATAAAGAGAGGAGGATCGAGATATGGGTGTGAATTCTGTTGACGTGACCTCGGAGGTTAAACAGACCTAGCCCAGGACACAGCGCGCGCAGGCCCTCCTCACCTCACTTTTGCGCAAGTACCTACGGCTGCCGTCTCAGCGACTGCCAGTGCCAGCTTGGTGCGTACCTCAAGAGCAACAGGCAGGTCAGGGCCAGACCAGAGATGCGCAGAATGGGCAATGTGAGAGGTCTCCCTCGCTCCGTTGATCCACCAAGGCGCGCGTAGAGACCTTGTCAGGGCCGAAAGTGAACATGGGACAAGGTCCAGGACCACATTGTGGGCTTCGTGAGCGTTGCGGAGCGAATAGGACCCGAGCTGTGAGGAGGGGCGCCTGCGTGCAATCTGCCAACTTCAATGCCCCATGTTGGATATGCCAGGTACCATGCGCGAGGGAGGCATGGGACGGGACGTAGTGTGAACATGTACAAGGACGCACAATCTGCGGGCCTGTGCCATCCGAGTGACGCCAGCGAAGCACAATACATGTATACACGATGGTCTCATTCGTCTCATGCAAGCAGAAGCAGCATGAAGAACACACAACTTTTAAACACACGGCTCGTGCTGCTCGTGTTCATTGGCACCGTCATCTGCTCTCCGTCAGACATGCTTCCCGCCCCAGATCCCAAGACAACGTGGATCAGATCTCCTCCACATTTGCTCAGTCCCGACAAGATGTGATTGACTCGGGCTCTGCCCTGCGTCCTGACGAGGAAGAGGAACCCGGCAGAAGCAAGCAAGGCCTGGCCCCAGTGTTCCCGCGGTTTCAAGAGCTTCGTATTGTAGGTCGTGCACAAATCATCATGTACCCAGTGGCATGGCTGCCAACCGATGAGCGGCAGGGCCAATGTTTTCTCAAAGGACATGGACATGGCGCCCGCCATGCCATGACAGCAGGGTCAGCAGCCGACACAGCAACTGGCACACACACACACACACACACACACACAAGTCATCATCAACATCAACAAACAAAACCACAAGTCGCGTTTCTTCGAACCTTGGACGAATCGTGTCGCATAATCTTAATTTTAGCAGAACGAGCTCCACACCAGCTTCGCACTAGGCATTCGATGGGTCATGTTCAGTTCGTCCAATCATAGACCGTCCCATCAATGCATAGGTACCCTGTAGCTTGCCGCCAGTCTGACTCCTTCGGTACCTTGGCTAGGCGCCTCTTTATTAGATCGCTTCCCTTGCAGGCGGGCGGCCCGAGTTGCTTTGTCATTGGAGGGGGCCATGAACCAGGTCATGTGATGGGTAACTCACCTTCCCTCCTCAGCCACAGCACAGGCCTGCAACCTAGGTACCTCAGGTGCTTAGCATCGGCGAGGCGAAAGCGTTCGGCTTAGTCCGAGTGGCTTGTCAATCCATCATTCGTCTTCAGCATTCTAGAAGGATTCCCCGTGTCATCGCCCTGTCGACAACCTTTCTTTTCCGGACTACTCAATACTTTGCACAACAACCTCGTCGCCATCTTGCACAGCTCGAACATCATGGAGCCAAACGGCGGTACAGGCACCGAGGCAGCTGCCGCGCCTGCTCCCGTCGCGGTCTTCAAGCGCCGTGGCGCAAAAGGCAAAGCCAACATCCGCAAGAGGCCAGCAACACCACCAGCGAACAGCGACTCCGACTCCGACTACTCCTCATCGGAAGACGAGGCCGGCCACCGCATCAAGCGTCGAAAGAAGAATACAGGCGCAGTCACAGCCTCGTCTAAAGCCAACGCCACCTCGAACGAGGACATCGCCGCGCCAGTCTTCTCAGCCGACCGCAACACGCAAATCACCAGCGCCAACGACGCCACCAAGTCGAGCAACTGGTTCGATGAAGACGCAAAGGGTGCCATGTCCTCGAAGAATCTTCTGGGCAGCACGCGTGCGGCACCTGACGGCACATACAAGGGCCTGGCAAACAAGACATCCTTCGTCCAGAGAAACCCTGATGCGCCCAGTCGCACAGTCGGACCTATCAAAGCACCAACCAACATCAGGACTATTACGGTGATTGACTACACACCGGATACATGTAAAGATTACAAGCAGACAGGTACGTCGTCTCCAGATCTCCTCTGCGTTGTCTCGTAGGACGCCCTTGCTAACCTTACAACAGGCTTCTGCGGATTCGGCGACAATTGCAAGTTCCTTCATGCCCGTGAGGACTACAAGCAGGGATGGCAGCTGGATAAGGAGTGGGAGGATGTTGCCAAAGGCAAGAAGAATTTGGGTGGAACCATCGTCGCGGATGCAAATCGAAATAAGGTGGCAGACGACGATGATGAGGAGGAAGACGCTATGCTTGAGAACATCCCGTTCGCCTGCATCATCTGCAGAGAACCATACAAGTCACCAGTTGTAACGAGATGCGGTCATTACTTCTGCGAGCCTTGCGCGCTCAAGAGATACAGGAAAGATCCAACATGCGCGGCATGTGGAAGCGGGACTAGCGGCGTCTTCAACTCGGCGTCAAGGCTCAAGAAGTTGCTCGACAGGAAGAGAGCGAGAGCCGCGAAGAAACGGCAGGACGCAATAGACGCTGGAGAGGAGGTCAGCGATGAGGAGGAAGAATGAGTCACATGATAGAATCAATGCAGATTGTGGTTCATGATGATCCGTTGCCATGAAATTCTGAAGAAGCTCAGTTCTGCATCGCCCTTCGCCTGTCTTTGTCACTAGGTACATGTAGATACGTCGACACGATTACGACCTAATAATGACGACGAGCGGGGCCTGCACGTTGAAGATAAGATAAGAGCTCAACGCCAACCCATCGCCCCACCAATCGTCAGACGACCCCGCCATCCATGTGATCGACCCTGGACGGCCATCAAGCTGCCTGCCTGACAATTGTCGCCTGCCGTGATCCAGCTGATCGCTTCTTATTGAGAGCCTTTCATCATCAAACATTGCAAAGGCTACATACTTGGCGAGAGGCATCCAGAGCACTACATAATTACAGAGGGATCCATCCGTACACGTGTTGCACAGCACGACCCCCGACACATCAGACCGATATCCTCCGTGTTGAACCCGAGTTAATCGATAGCCCTCGTCAACCAAGACGCCATCATGAATCTTCTGTACTCAACCGTCAATACCTTGCGAGACAAATATACGCCCGTAACGCACACCTCTACCTTTCGCCAGTCTGGTCAGATCACCCCGGAAGAGTTCGTTGCGGCGGGCGACTATCTCGTCTACAAGTTCCCGACCTGGTCTTGGGGTGACGCGGACGATGCGAGCCGGAGGGCCAGCTACCTCCCGGCGGGGAAGCAATACCTCGTCACGCGCAACGTTCCTTGCCATCGCCGGCTTAACGACGACTTTGCCGGCGATGCCGGCCACGAAGAGTCTGTCGTGGAAGGCAAATCCGGCGTTGGCGACGATGAGGATGGCTGGCTGCGGACAGGCGGCCTGGCGAGCTCACAGCCTCTCAAGGCACGGGATGTCAGGACGGTAGACGATTCTGGGAACCTCGGCGAGAGTGAGGCATTGGAAGAAGACGATATTCCGGATATGGAGGACGATGAAGACGACGACGAGGCCATCATCCGAGATGTAGGCACAGACGGGCACGACAGGTAGGTTGCCATCTTGCGCCGTGCTTTTCACAGACGCTAACCGCAGTAGTGGTCGACGAACATATACCTTGTACATAATGTACTCTGCATACTACCGCACTCCTCGCCTTTATCTCTCAGGGTACCTGCCCAACGGACAACCTCTCCCACCCAAGTCCATGATGGATGATATCGTAGGCGACTACAAGGACAAGACGGTCACACTCGAGGACTTCCCTTTCTTTGCCAACAATATCAAGATGGCGAGCGTGCATCCCTGCAAGCACGCGCCTGTCATGCGTACCTTGCTCGATCGCGCAGATGCCGCGTTGCGTATCCGTCGCGAGAAGCTCAAGGCTGGCAAATCTGTTGGCGGCGAGCAGGGGATGGAGGGTCTTGTCGATGAGATCGGCAAGCTCGATGTCAAGGCTGCAGAGGTGGTTGCTGACAAGGGCAACGACGAGTGGGAGCAAGTCGAGCAGAGCGAAGCCGATGAGCAGGAGGTTGCGATTAGGGTGGACCAGTACCTGGTGGTGTTTCTCAAGGTCAATATATTTACCCGTGCTCTGGTTATGGTCATCGTTTGCTAACAATTTTCTCATAGTTCATCGCCAGTGTGACGCCTGGAATCGAGCACGACTTTACCATGGGCATTTAGGCGTCGCGGGAATTACTGTGGGCTGCTGAGAAGGGGGAACGGACCTACTGGCTGGGAGTTCTGACTTGGATCACAGGTATGATGTGGGGAAGCGGACAACGGTATCGGGTAGACAGATGGAAATATATCACCCTGTTTCATTGTGAACCATACGGATTCTCGCGGTGGAACTGTTGTCACGTCGTGCAGTAGTGAAGTGTTGATATGTAATTGGATCTCGGCTGGAAACGTGTACGTCCAAGAGATGCCAATCCGGTCACGCTCATATGCACATACACTTGATAATTCCATCAGAGAGCAAACGGTTGGCTGGCCACAGTGGAGATACCATATCTCAGTCAGTTCAGGATAACCCATTGATTTAATAGGTCAGCTTCGCCACCGGTAGGTGTTATGGCCAATATCGCCTGCAAAAATGGTCGTAGTTGGCTGTATGGACTCTTTCCCCGTAAGCCCGTCCCATTACTAGAACCAACACGAGAGGATTGAGTGAGGTATAAGTTCACCTGACCATTGGGTATCGACCTGAGCTTACCATTGGGTCCGCTTCTAGTCTGAAGTCAAGCCCACCTGCTGCACCAATACCTTCTCATCTTACCCCCGGCCTCCGCTACTGCAATGTCAGAATCGAATGAAGATGCTCATTCTGTCTTTGGGAGGGGGGGGGGGGGGGTTGTCTTGGACCCAGATCCACACCTTGCTCGAAATCATGCGACAAGGAGTTAATCCCCTTTACGGACATCCCTACAACCCCATAAAGGCCTGCATAGTGAGATACAGGGCATGAAAACCTGCACTCATGCCCGTGTCCGTCCGACGAAAAATTGTCGAGAGCGAGCGCGAAATCCTGGACGCATCAGGGAGGGACGGCAACGGGCGAACACAAACAGTCACAGCCTCGTCCACTGCGAAGGAGCTAATGATCCAAGGTGTAATCTACGGAGCCTGAACAGTTCAGAACTGGACGCGCACCGCTCGCACCAAGGTCCCTTGTTGCTGTCTCGGAATTCACGGTATCGCTTGTAACACGGTTGACTGGAGACTTGATCAGTTTCCGATCCCGATAAGCCTAAACATCTTTTTGAGACCCAAGTACTCCTGGGTCTCAATTCTGCGCCTGTCCCTGCACCAGCTGTCGAAGAACCGCACCATGGAATCGAACAACATGGTTCGAGACAGGTCGCAGACCTTGCTCCATCGACTGGTTAAGTCGTCATTCTCGAAACTTTCGCCGGGCGTGGGTGGCTCGCACTCAGCGCAATTCCAGTTGGATGGCCATGCGAGCAGGGAAAGCAACGTCCGCCCATGCCTCGTTGGGTTCGCGAACTCGCTCATCCCTCCTCGTCGATAACTGAGTATAGAAATCTTCCAATGTGGCAGAGTAGCCGGCAGATTCGCAGACATCCAAGTAGAAAGCATAGGGACCTTGAATAGGACACTGGCGGGTGTTGAATCGTTCCTGGATTGTGGTGAACATCGCGATGGGAGGCAGTCCGAACTTGGCCTAAGGCCACTTCCACTCCATATTGTACGCGTAATCTGGGGATGGGAGGTTGCCCTTTATTTTGGCGGTCGCTTGAGTTTATGCAATGATAGGTAGTAGAGGCGCCGCAGCCCAAACCTGAGTCTGCCGCTTCCAACATCTTCCACCTCGCCTTCATCTACTGACCAACGAACAAAGTAGCGCTAGGCCTGTTCAGATCACACCCTCCTCTCCCACAATCAAGCTTACCTGCGCGCGAACGGCAAACCGGCTGGCAAAGCATACAGCTGATGAAGCGTGGCGGGAAACTCGAGCTGAAGAGACGGCCATCGTGCTCGCGTAGTGTCCCATCTCTGTCCATACCTTATCCTGATACAACCCTGGCCCACCCCTCCCGCCTTCGTTCTTAGTGGTGCCGCTAGAGGGTCCTGGCCCAGGAAGGCTCTCTCCCTAAACCTTGATTGCGAGGCGCATATCGTTTTGTTCACGCTCAGCTTACATGAGGCGCCCCGACTTGCTCATTTATCGGCCCCCCCCGCTGGGTGCCAATGGAACGACTGGCGTAACTGTGGGAAGCGGACCAGTAGCGGGTGCCCTCCCAGTACAATCTCGCCATACAGGCCTTGTTCCTCGTCTGACCATTTGGGCTCTTGGCGTTGGGGTCGCTTAGAGGGGTTGCAAGCCTTGGAATTCTATCACCTCATCGAAGACGAAGCTATCAGGTGGGGAGAGCATGGTGACGATGATGGGGAGGGGAAATAGCCAAAGGGGGGGCGCAAGGGTGGGTGGGAGGCCCGTTCCAGCCAGCCAGCCCCGACCACGGGGGCATGTGGTGTTTAGGTCGGACTGAGAGGAGCCTGTCGTTCCATCGCGGCCATACGGAACTCGCCAACTGTGGGGGAAAGACGACGTCAGCGTGCAGAACCGGCACTCTGTTGCGTGGTAGCACGACAGGTATCGTGTACTTGACGACTACTCTGTGTGACAGCCTCCGCGCGACTCGAGGTCTGCGGGAGATACACAGTGAAAGTCGGCTTTGCTAGGACACCGTGCCACTCACATCGCTCGATAGTCAATCGGTCCGCCCTCTTCAAACGCAAAGAGGAACCACACCTACATAGGTACTGTGATGAAAAGGGTTTGGACGAACCCTTTCAATCACCCTCGGCTTATCTTTGTGGGGAAAATAAGTCTCTTGTTGCGTGCGCGAGATGATTCACTTTGAGAACGCCTCATGCCAATCTTCATCCATTGGCCGTCTTTACTGAAAACATCGCAATCTGAGGTCTAAGGTACAGCTTGACAAGCACGAGAGTGCAGGAGTCGTCCGCCGAAGTCCGCCAGTCAAACAATGAAGCAGAAATCGCGATTCCAAGTGCATGCGAAAACTTGACCCAACTCCCCCTTCAAAGGCCCTTCGAAATGGGCCACAGCACTTCCAAACGCAAACGCCTTTTCTCGGAACTTGTGTCGAGCCAAGCTTGCCTCTCCCTTGTTATTACCCAGGCCCATGTCTCGTATTGATGCTCTTTCGGGCCACGGAATGATGTGGAAATCATGACTTCGTTGAATCGTTCATTAGTAGCCCGCCTGTCCTGGCATCTTGCCGAGTGAATGACCTTGACTTGCCAGAGGCAGGTGGTTGTGGCAGAATATCTTCTTCTGTCCGTTGACGTGTGTAGCGTTTTTCTTCGAGGCATCAATGTACTTTGCTGGGTCATCGTAGCTGTCGTATTGGCAGCATTCAATGTTCTTGAACCAGCGGTAGCCTGCGATGTCTGCGATACTCGCTCGTTTAGCCGGATCAGGGTTCAGCATTGACAACAGCAAGCGTCGCAGAGCGGGTGGGTTGATGCAGAGATCAAAGGCCTCAAAGAAGGGGTAGTCCCTGTCGCTTAGAACAGCGTCGGGTTCGGGGTGCTTCGCATTCCACTTGTCCCAGCCCTTGCAGAAGCTGTCGTAGAGGGGTGCAGCGCCACGCTCGGCTCTGGTCCAAATGTTTCCACCAAAGGTGAGATATATCATAATGATGGCTGTGCCCCAGACATCCATGCCCCGAGGGTCGTAGGATTGCTTTTTCTGCAAAACCTCAGGAGCAATGTACGGCTCGCTGCCGCAGATGCCTGGAGAACACATACGTACGTCAGACATGTTCTGGCCGCATTGCCCGCCGGCTTCGCGAAGACCTGGGTGGGTTCCAGAAAAGACCTCCGACACGCCAAAGTCTGTGATCTTCACCTTGCTTCCGTTCATGATGAGCAAGTTCTCAAGCTTGATATCGCGGTGAGCGATACCATTGCTGTGGAGGTAGTTGACGCCCTGCACTGTCTGCTTCCAAAGACAGAGACGATCTGTCGCGCGTGCAGGGTCCTTGAGATGCCCCTTGGCGATGAGCTGGTACATGTCGCCGTCTGCACAGTGCTCCATCACATGGTTCCAACGACCATGATCGGTGCAAAGCTGAATGGTTTCGACAATGTTCGGGTGATGCAGGCTCTTGGCGATGCTGTATTCCGACTTGACCTTCTTTTCGTACTCCTCTGTGGTGTCTGACTTACTCTTGCCGCGAAACTCCTTGACAGCATATAGCTCACCAGGGAAGCCCTTGCGACACATCAGAGTCACTTTGGAGGTTGCCCCCTTGCCGAGATGCTTTCCGTGACGGCCAAGGAGCTTGTTCTGGTACTCGTACTCGGAGAGCAGATCGGCTGTCTCGACGTGAAAGTCGTCCGGCAGGCTGATGCTCAGGCGTCGGGATTTGACTCCAGTACCGGCATCAGGCATCATGGCCCATGGCGATCGCTCAATGTGGGGGGGATGGCAGACTTCGTCGGGCACGATGGCGGGCTTGCTGTGCCTGTCAAAGCTGCGACGACGTGCTCCGAGGCCGAGAGCTGCCTTCGTGGAGTGCTTCTCTCGGGCGGTACCGTTGGCGTGCGCAAAGCCAATCGCACGCCCGCGCAAGGAGAACCCGGTGGAGGCGCGGTTCTTCTTGAAATCGTTCGATGACGGCATGGTGTCTGTCTGGGTCTTACTAGTGTTCACCATTTCCAGGGTCGAACCCGGCGACGGTGGGCTGTTTGAGCGAGTTGTTGTGTGTGATTGATTCATTGAATATGTCCTCCGGGCCGCGGTAAATCTGCTTGACTCGTTGACGGTGGTGTCAGATGGCCCTTCAAAGTTGGGCATGTTAAAGCCCTTGGCCTCCTTCATGTCAGGTTTCGGTCCTGTAGTGTTGGAATTGGACCGCTTGAAAAGATTCGACATGCTGCGTTTAAAGCTACTTGTGGAGGCACCAGTGGGTCGTCGAGACAGAGAGGTGGCGACCAAATCTTGGTCAGCAACGGGTTGTTTTGTCGGTGACCTCGGTGTCCCAGCAGCGCTGGTAGTGGTGAGATCGGGCGAAGGGGTGGAAGCCGTGACCAGAGGGGTGGTGGGGTGGTGGTGGTGGTGGAAACTCTGCTTATCCGGGGTGGGCAGCGTGGTGAATTCCTGCGAGTACCTGACGCTGACGGGTGTGACCGGTTCGTGGTCGTTGGGCGAATCAGTTCCAGTCTCGTCCCCTTCGAGAATCGGACTGGCCAGGTCGTTAGGGTACTGACGAGGAGAGGAAGACAAGGCAGTGATCGTGTTTAGCTTCTGACCATTCGTGATTGGAATCGGTTGGCCTATAAAGGATGCAGATACATTTGTTAGGAGGAAGGTTCGAGCGGAGAAGGGATTCGAGATAAAAGGGAAAGAAGGGCCAAGGCGGAGAAAGTTGGGAGGAACGTGGGAAACATCGATGACATGACGCAGGGCTGGGGAGCCAAGCACCGAGGCAGGTTGGCAGTGTGCGAACTGGCGAACAGGGGGGCGTGGTCTACTGGGGTGTGTGGCAGGAGGTGCACAGCGCGAGCAACGTACCAGAAGGAGGGGCAAGAGAACGAGGCGGCGCCTCGTTGGGGGTAGTGCGAACTCCCGAGACTGCCATTGTTGCGGTGGCGCAGATGTGCAGGCCAGAACTGATCTGATCTTCTTGTCCGGCCCTGCCTGTAGCGGAGATGATTGATTGAGCGCGCGCAAACGTAGGGTAGGGGGATTCTTTGCAGCGCAGTCCGGCACTGTTCGTAAGGCGCACCAGGACGTGGGGCGGCGTGACCGAAGCTTGGACTAGTGTTGGGCGACGCTGGCAAGCCGCTAAAAGAGCAGTCTGGTGATGGTGGGAGGGGCGTCGCTGTTGCCGGCGAAGTACGACTCAGTTTCTGCTGAACGGCGTCGCAGCGCAGTGCGACCGTGGGCGGATTGCTGGGGAAAAGGTGGGTGCAGTGTGCGACGTGCAGACCTATCCCATTGCCAAAAAATAAATTCAATGGCTCCTGCACAGCTGGGATGTGCCAGTGATGCAGTTGAGGATGGAGGTTTATGGCACCTGGTCAGGTAGTTGTGGATTGGTCGGTGTCAGGTCAGATATGGCGTGCAGCACCGTGAGATCCTGGGCAGCCGGAGCGTGTTGAGCTTGGCTGTGCTGGGGACGCGTTGGGGGTTCGAGTCGACGGCACCACGTCGTTGTTCCCATAGGAGAGATGGCGATTATGAATGCGAACCCGTCCAATCCGACGCTATCTTGGGAATGAGAGAGCTGGCCTGGCGCAGTCGACAGGGGCAAGGTTCGTAAAGCTGACGTTCGGTTGCTGGTGAATGAGTATAATAATAGTGGTAGGCAGGTAGGGGGCTTGGGGGGCCTGGGGTCGACGACTGAGAGTGAGAATGGATGTGTTGAAGCCTCCTCCGGCGTCGTGGCACGGCAAGGGAACGAGGAAGGAGGAGAGGAAAAGGAAGAACGACGGGAGACGCAGAAGCCCGACTGTAGCGAAGACTGAGAGCGAGGTGAGCGATTAAAGATGTCGGGGAAGTGAATGTCATGTCACCAAGAAGCCGCCGCCAGGTGCACCCAGTGGATCTAGATCTGATGCTGAACCTCTAGGTGGACACTGGACGCCTTACTGTGTTGAGCACCCCTGGGATGCCTACCCGTCGTCATCTGGCTCGGCTTAAAAGGCTTGTGTTTTGCGAGCGTCAAGAGCGGGGCGGGGCGACAGGGACCATTGGGGGGCAGGAGCCCATGGACAGGGAGCCAGGGGCCAAGGGGGGGAAAGGCCCTGGGGGGTCAGACAGGCACGGTGCGGATTTCGGGGACGGGGAGAAAGCAGCATTGCCAACATTGGCAGGAGCGAGGGCTGGGTGAATGAGGACACCCAGTTGGGTCGGTTTGAGCCACTCGCACGAAGTGAAAGTCATCTAGGTGGGGGGCATGACAAGATGTTCATCTGCAGTTCTGGAGGCGCATCTGGGAAGGAAGGAATGTCCGTGGCGCTTTCGGTGCAGCAAATAGGCCTCAGTTGTCTCCGAAGTATCCGCTACCTTGGACCTTGATCCGGCCCTACTTCACCTGGTCAGTCTCAATCGGTCTTGGCAAACCTCGACTCTCCCGACGTGATTGACTTCAAGCTGCCAGACCAGGCTAGATGTCTGACCTGGGCTCGACCGCAGTGAAACAGCGCCCACGACAGCCGGGGACTTCGTTGTCTTGCTCTTATTACCTTATTTTGATGAGCCACCTGGGCCTCGTGGCACTGCGTGTCTTCTTCTTCTCCAACCTTAATCACGATCGAGGACGGTACATAAGCTGTTCATGTAATGGATCGGAAGCAATCGATAGCGGCGCCTGCACAACCCCTTGCCTGTTATATTTGGATGCCGCTGGCCAGGCAGACCACTAAACCCCAAGCACGAAACATCTGTGCAAAAAACCTATGGACGCTTCAAGACCACAGTGCAGATCGAAGGAAGAGGGGGGGTTGTTCTCCAGCGACTGGCGCCGAGTGGTGGGGAGCATTGTGGGGGAGATGATGCCATGCAACCACGGCCTGGATTCGGCTTGGTTCGTCTCCGGACTGCAGGAACCAATATAATCATCGCGACATCGGGGCAACACTGTTTATCCCTTGGCAGCCAACATGACGGACGTTTAAGGGCGGCAGGACTGACTTACCAACGGAAGTCTGCCTCTTCCATCACGACAGGCAAGCAAAGCGCATCAGAAGCATTGACGAGCCGCGCGAGTTGTGGTGCGAGATGCGCCATGCTCGCAGCTACCTTAGGTCGCTCGCGCCGTTTGGACCTGATTGGATTCCCACGGCTGAAGCGGCACCTATCGTCGCTGACCAACCGTCCAAAAGATGATCTCTTCCCTCTTCCCCCCTTGAATTGACCAGATGCTTGATTGTGGCTTGGTCAAGGCGTCCAGTCTTTTCTTCCCGTGACAGACCGATAGACAATCATCAAGTGGTCACAAGCCAATTAATCATGCGACAAACCTATTCAGGCTTACATATTGATCACGACTCGACTATCCGCATCTATCATCAAAGAGCCCCCTCGTCGCGTACGATAGGCACGCTGCCTGACCGTTGCCGTGATCCGTCACCGACCCGCTCATCTGCAGACGTCAGAGTTACCCCCTTGTATGTGCTCTGTGATGTGTGCCTCTCATTGAAATCCATTGCAAAGCCATAACTAGATGATCTGTTGACATCGATCAGTCAGCATGGACTCCACTGCTTTGGCCATTTTGACCCTGCGAATAATGTCTCACTATCAAAGGCAATACAGCCATGAGAGAGCGCCGCAACACACACTGTCACGAACACGGACTCGGGCGAGGGAATTGCCAAGCACCGAGGACTCATAAACAGGTACGCAGGGAATTTGGGTCGGCATGCCATAGACAAGACGCAGGGTACGTCATGTCGTGGCCCACGATCCATGGTGTGGGTGCAACTGGCCGCCTCGTAGCCTGTCAAGGAGAATACGGGGAATCGGGATCTCGTCATCATTCACGGGCTTCATCCCGTACATACCAGCACCAGTTAGATCAGCAGAAGAAAATACAGCCTTCATTAGCATAACACTGATGCACGGGTGACTAGGTAGGTCCGCCTGCCCGCAGGCTACTACAGTCAGCCCTTTCGAGTCGTGTAGTAACATTTCTGTAAAACGAATAAGCGGCCGGGCCGGAATCTGAGTGATCGAAATCTTGGGGTTGACTGTGCTCCCAGGCAATAAGACCTGCCAAGCAAATAGGGTCGGACAAATGCATAACGATGGTGATCTCTGCGAATTGGACGACTGACTCGTGTTTCATCGAGCGTTTTCCCCCACGCCCTGTTGCCGTCGCTCTCAACAAAACCCCATGCGCTTTTGATCATTTCATAACGTACTATGGCGGACCCCAAGTACATGGGCGGCATGTATGGTAAACATCCACCTTTCCTCATCCCGGTTAACGTCCCGAATTTCCCCGCGATCAATGTGATATTGGAGAATTGATGTAGGGGGGAGGAGCGATGATGATGCAGGAGACGCCCCTCGCCTTCAGGTGTGACTGCAATCACCCGATCTTCCACTTCCCGGGGTAAGCGCACATAGCTAGAGTTGCGCTGACTTGGCGTGTTCAGCTCGTGCGAGGTAAAAGTAGCGAGGCCCGGGCCATAGAGCAAGGCGGCGAGGCCTGCTTTTTCGATATTACAACAGCCTAGAGCTCGCGCCCATTCTGATGATCAGATGATTGAGGAGGCCCACGACACCTGGTACCATGTACTTCTTCCACAAGATTCTCCGTCCATAGCTTCGAGAACGCAGTGCTCGGGAACTGGACTACGGGCCATGGCGGCAGTAGAGTTGGAGCCGTCAGCCCATTGTTGCCCGCCACCACTGGATCAGCTCGCTTGTCGGGTTGGGGCAGCTCGGGAGGCACCGATGGCAACGGAGCCTTCTGGAGAATAAGCTTCGTCTGGAACGGCCCATCGGCCGACACCATGAGATCCGGGTGCCAAAGGCCTCTCATGAGAACAGGTCATCAAGGAATCGACACCCCCGAAAGGTGGACCTCAGCTTTTGAGGCATGCTACATCGGGCCGGTCTTGTCGCCATGAGTGGCACCGAAAGTCTCAAGGCGAACTGAAACTCACAGCCACCCTCTATCACCGCCTAGGTACTATACACAGTCAACATGGAAGGTGACGTGGTCTAGTATTTTTTTTTTGTGTCGAAGCCAAGGGATGGACAAATAGTCAACCTACCCATAGTTTAGCTGACCTTCCAGTGCGAACGCAGATTCGTCTCGTTTTTATCATTTCATGGTCAAGACTCGCCTCGCCTCGCCTGGCTGCGTAGCTCAATTGACTTTCCACCTTCAGCATCTCACTGCTCTTCCCCATGGAGCGCCAAGGATAACCCAAGCCAGAGAACCACGAACTTCATCGCGCTTCATCACATGTAAGTACGCCGGGAAGTGGCATATATCACGGGCCACAAGTCAGCGCTCAGATCGGGCCCCGACCAAACTCCTCACCGGAGATGTCTCACTCCTCACCATGCGCCCGCTGCAGAACCTATCCGGAAGGCCGACACGGGGAACGAAAGCATCCCCTAAACGAGCAAGCAGGCGGACAGAGACAGGTTGGACATGGCATCGCTTGTCTACATAGCACTCCAGCCAGTGCTTGATCTACGAAGAGTTTCTGTGAACACGATTTTCCCCACGCGATGTTTTACTTCGCCAAATGCGTCTATCTGCAATTCGCACAGAGCGCGGGCGAGAGCGCGTGAAGCAGAAAACCTGCTCGTGCGCGTGACGAAAGCGCCCTGGCCAACGGGACTGCACCATTTGCTTCTCTTCGTCTGCCTTTTTAAGCAAGTCACGATGGTAGGCCGTCTTGGCCGCGCCTAGACGCCAGATCAAAGTGCGCAGGCGGTCAGGCCCGACCTGCCGAGTGTGGCCAGCCGGGCAGGGGCTCGCGGTGAAGGAGACCGAGGTAAGCGCAAGTCAGCCTGGGGGAGGCGCTGGAACTGGAAGGTGAGCAGGCGGTCAATGTATCTTTTTAGGTACTCGCTGGAGGTGTTGACCGTATTCATATCCAACATTGGCTG